AGGACTCATACTTGAGGATAACTTACGGTTGACGGGAAGTGGGGTAGAAATTGGCTTGCAATCTTGCATGTTGAAGCGCCGCAAGATCTTAAGTAAATAATTCTTTTGAGAAAGCCAAATCTTCCTATCTTTTACTGTCTCGGTGAATTTGCATCCCTAAAATCTTGTTTGTTGGTCCCAAGTCCTTCATATCAAACTCCCTAGCCAATTGTGCCTTCAATTCTTGGATTCGAGCTTTGTTAGGGCCTACCACCAACATGTCATCCACATACAACGACAATATGATGAAATCATTTTCTTCAAACCTATTGTGGTAAGTACAATGGTCAGAACTTAGTCCGTAGTATCAGAGGCTAATAATGAAGGAATCAAATCTCTTATACCAACACCTTGGCGCTGCTTTAGACCGGTATAGAGATTTGTTCAACCTGCAAACCAAGTTTTCTTGCTCTTTGAAGCCTTCGGTTGGAGCATATATATTTCCTCTTCAAGTTCTCCATGAAGAAAAGCGGTTTTACATCCAATTGCTCAAGATGTAAATCAAATGCGACACACATCGCCGAGGACAATTCGATTGTTGTCAATCTAACAAGCTGGTGAGAATATCTCGTTGAAATCAATGCCTTCTTTACGAGCATATCCTTTTACCACCGAGTCTAGCACGATATCTTTCTACTTGATCATTGGCATCTCTCTTGATCTTATAGACCCATTTGCAACCAATGGCTCTGCGACCTTTTGGAAGTTCCACAAGATGCCATGTCTTGTTTTTATGAAGAGCTTCAATTTCTTCTTCCATAGCGAGCCATCCATAGAGGAGCTTCGAACCACTCACGGCCTCTTGAAAAGTTGAAGGTTCTCCTTCTTCACTTAGGAGACAATACGCATCATGACTTGCCATCACATATTGTGAATGCCAAGATGGTCGACTCTTTCTCTTGTTGATCGTCGGAGTTCTCCTTCTTCCACCTCATTTGGCTCATGTTCTTCATGCTCCTCCTCTAACTCGGAGGAATGTTCAGAAGTCTTCTTCTCTATCTGTACTATAGTCTTGTCCTTTTCAGAGTTGTCATTTATCTGCTTGCTTTGCGAGTTCATTTTCTGCAAAGACGACATCTCTGCTAACAATAACTTTGTGGGCAGTGGGATCCCACAAGCGATACCCCTTCACATTGTCGGCATATCCCAAGAAGATGCATTTCTGGATTTTGGATCCAACTTCGTCCTTTCTTGGGTGTTGTACATCACGTACGCGGGACAACCAAACACATGTAAGGAAGAATAATCGGTTGATTTTCCACTCCACATTTCCATAGGAGTTTTCAACCCAATTGCTTGTTGATGGAGACCGATTTATCAAGTAACGAGCGGTATTCACGGCTTACGCCGGAAAGACTTTGTTATGCACTGCGGTTTGCGGCATAGCTGCAGTTCTCTCTAGAAGAGTTCTATTCATCCGCTCTGCTACACCATTCTGCGAGGCGTGTGTGGAACAGAAAATTGTCTCACAATTCCTTCTTGCTTGCGAGAATGCTAGAAAATCTCCATCTACATATTCTCCTCCATTATACTGTCCTCAAACACTTGATTCTCCTTACGGTCTCAAGTTCTACTTGTGCTTTGAAGTCTTTGAACCGCGCAAATACTTCGAGACTTCTTCTTGATAGGGTATACCCATAATCTCCTCGAGTAGTCATCGATGAACGACACAAAATATTTTGCTCCTCAGAGATAATTCGGTGATTCCCGGACATCGGAATGGATCAAGTCCAAAGTTTGCTTACTCCTTGTGGTGGTTCTTGCAAACTTCAACCTGTGTTGTTTGCTTGTCACACAATGCTCACGGAAGGGTAAATCGACCTTCTTGAGCCCAGGTATGAGATCACGTTCCGCAAGAATCTGCGAGACCTCGCTCGACATATGTCCAAGTCTACGGTGCCACGTTATCGCAGCTTCTTCTTGGCTTGTCGACGCGAGTTGTTGCATGATTTTCTTGCAAGGTGTCTCCCATAAGCACATACAAGTTTGCCATGATTTTCTCTGCTTTCATGACAACTATGTTTCCCCTCACTACCTTTAAGATTCCTCCTTCAACATGGATCTTGCAGTAGAGGTCATCCAATTGCCCTATAGACAATATATTTTTCTTCAAGTCCTTCACATGTCGTACTTCTTGGATTGTGCGAATAGTACCAGTCATACATTTTTAATTTGACGGTACCAACTCCAGCAATCTCCAATGCATGGTCATTTCCCATGAACACGGATCCACTCGAGATAGGCTTGTAGGTTTGAAACCAATCTCGGTGTGGGGTCATATGCCAAGTTGCACCTGAATCCATTATCCACTTGTCATGAAATTCGTTTCCGCCATTAGAGCGATTCTTTGCTTCGCTTACCGAATTACTCCTTCCTCCGAAGTACTCGCAATGCAACCTTGTGAGGTTGATTCTTCATTCTTCCTCTTCCAACACTCTTTCTTCGTGTGCCCTTTCTTGCCACGGTAGTAGCATTTAAATTTGAAAGTCTTCTTGTTTCGAGAGCTCGATCTGCCATGATCTTGACTCCCACTTGAGCCACGTTCGTTGATCTTCCTCTCATCATCGTCAAAACTTACGCTTGTTTAGAACTTTCTACCTTATTCATTCGCCTGGATTCTTCTTCTAGAATAGCTCAGGCAACATCGTCAAAGTGTAGTTGTCCTTCAATATTATTATTTGTAATGTTGATGATGAGTTGATCATACGAGTCCGGCAAGCTCTGAAGTAAAAGCTCACGCACGCTCATTCTCAACTATGTTGAAATTTGCTGCTGCTAATTGGGCAAACAAGGTGTTCGGTTGGTTGATGTGGTCAGTCACCGATGTGGACTCACTCATCAGAAGAGTATAGAGTTTCCTCTTCGGGAATATCCTTGTGTGAAGTGACTTCACCTCATATAATTTAATGAGGGCATCCCAAATCTCCTTTGCGGAATCTTTCTCCGCAACACTTTGGATAGAAGCTGAGTCTGCCATTGCCAAGTGTAAATTTGCAATAGCGTTGCTTGTCAATTTTCTTCCAATCTTTATCCAGTCATTTCTGCAGGTTTTCCCTCAATTGCTTCTGCGCAATTGTCCTTTCTCAAGATTGCCTTCATCTTCAATTTCCACAACGAGAAATTGTTCACGTTGAACTTCTCTATCTCGTACTTTCTTGCCATGGTTGTGTTTCCACTTATGCAACTTTCACTTATGAATAGTATTGTCTACTGGAACAATAGTAGTAGGCCAGTGAACCGATACACCAAGTAGGTTCCCAGGAAAGAGAGGTGGGTCACTAATGGACACGCTTAAGTACCAAGTCTTTCCTAGCCAGAACTTTCCTCAATAGTACTTTCACACTACCACACCTTTTCCAGTAACAACTCCTTTCTGATGTGGAAGATCAGATTAAACTGCAACCACAGAGCATACTCAGAATTTTACCAACACTATTCTAGTGACGCGCAACGGAACTCGAACGCAGCTCTGATACCACTGTTAGGATCAGAGTACCAGCACAAATACACACAACTAAAATAGAGACTAGAAAAATAACACTGACAATAGGCAAAAATGGAAATTTTATAATGACTACCCTTTCCTTTACAATTGGAAATTACCAATACTAGGAAAGTAAAAGAGAAAGAAGGAGAAATTTTGGGATGTTTGAAATAAGGGGGGAGGGGCTCCTTTTATAAGAAGGAGGAGAGCCCCCAATTGAAGTTCCCACGGATGTGGGACTTCTTCCTTCACAACCAAACCATTTCATTGCTTGTTTATCATGTTCTTACATGAAATTGCTTTTCCATAAGATAGCATGTTTCTAATACAGTTCAGCAGACACTGCATTACCCCAAAGACTAGTACTTAAACCTCATCTTAGAACTTCAGAGTTGCAAGAGGCAAGTATGTATGACAACATGTCCAATAACCACGCGCTTGCATGCATCAAATCCTTTTACCAAACATAGTAAAAGCCAAAATTGTGCAGAGAAGGGACTAATTCGAAATTGTGTAACTCAGAAAAAATGAAAAAGGTTGTGTTTATTTTATACCCCTTTAAATATTGTTCTTATATCATCTTTACAATTTTGGATTGTGGCCGGATGTAGAAGTTATCAATGAACCTCTCCAGAAACACTTAGGCTTAAGCTTGTGAATTGTCTGTGCTTTTGATTTAAAGAGCTTCTGTTCTTGCTTAGGAGGACATGTTAAATGTAAAAACCATTCATGAACCTAAACATACATATAAGTTTTTGAAAGTGCAAGTAAGTCCTTTGTAGATACCTCTGAGAACACACCTCAGACCATAGAAATAAAAACAACTTGGCAGGGATGAGAGTTTGAAGTGGCCCTAAGCTTTCCCAAAGATTGTTTGATGTTGATGATAACTGGCTTTTCTTATCCTTATTACTCCCAGCATTGGAATGGAAATTTAAATATCAGACATATCAATCAATTACTGGACATAAAGCAATCTGAAAATTGTAAATTCCAAAGGAGTGCTCTAGCTGATACACTTGTGGCCCTCAGAACAGAGAACAACACTGGATAACCCATCAGCACTACCCTTTCTTAATATCAAGGTGTATACCATCCAACATTTCTCTTCTTCACGGGTTACATACAATCTACATTAATTTTATCTAACTACAATCCACTGAGATTGTCACTTATACTCATTAATCTACAACAAGGTTAAGCAGCAAGAAAAAAGGTAATGAAAACAATAAAAGTGAAATTCACAGATAGCAGCACCTTACAAGTCATGATCAAACAAGCATACATACATAATTATACCTGCTGATCAAGGGGACTCTTATCGTTATTTTCGTTCTTATTATTGTTAGTAGGAGAACATTAATTCTCTCTTACTTAACAAACAAGAGCCACCCCAATCAATCAAAATCACTTCACCTAAAATTCTAAACTGAAGTCCAAGCATGCTTGAGGTATACACTACATTACACTCTAAAGTCTAAACACAATAATCATAAAAGTCAGAAATATGAGAAGTATGGTCCATGGTGAAGCTAGGAATCTTATCCAACTTAACAGGGTTGTTCTTCCCTCCTACCAGCTTAGCCGGGTTCCCAACAACTGTAGTCCTTGGAGGCACATCCTTGATGACCACTGAACCAGCACCAATCTTAGCCCCATCACCAACCTTAATATTCCCCAAAATACAAGTTCCAGCACCTATCAGCACCCCATCACCAATTTTTGGGTGCCTATCCCCAGAAACCTTACCCGTTCCTCCCAATGTCACACTATGCAAAATTGACACATTGTTCCCTATCACAGCCGTCTCTCCCACCACAATCCCAGTTGCATGATCCAGTAAAATCCCACTTCCAATCTTAGCCCCCGGATGAATATCCACAGCAAAAACCTCAGAAACCCGGTTCTGAATCATGACCGCTAGAATCTCCCTTCCCTGAAGCCACAATTTGTGAGCCACCCTGTGAGCTTGACATGCGAGAAAGCCTTTGAAATTCAAGAAACAGTGGACGTGGCTTATGCATGCAGGGTCTCTCTCCTTCACTGCCCTCAGGTCACTCTTCACAGCATCCATGACGGCTTGATCAGTTTCCAAAACCGCGACAAAAAGATCATGAAGGGTGGTGCTAGGAAGGGATGGACTGCTGAGTTTGACGGCAAGGTGATTGGCCAACGCGGTTTGCAACGACTCGTGAGAGAGAATGAAAGTGTTGTAGTAACTAGACAAGATGGGTTCCACAGTGACATCAAGTCTAGCTTCATCCTGCATCTTCATCCAAACATCGACCTCAACAATTTCATCCACTTCAATTTGTTCTACAGTGGAACCAGTGTGCAAGGTATTGACCCTGTGTCTGGAAAAGGGGAAGGAGGGAGTGAAACTGGGTTTGAAGGTTTGATGGGTTTGGGACACTTGTTTTGGTGATGGAGTCACCAGGGTTGAGTGCATGTGGCTAACAAAGAGGAGGGACAGTTGTTTTGGTGTGGAAGTCAGGAGGGAGTGCCTTCTGATCATGATTTTGAGGCAAAATTGGAAGTGTTTGAAAGAAAATTATTTGGAAGGAACGATTTGTGACTGTGATCTGTGAGTGGAAGGGAAGCACAAGGTTCAAGGTTCAAGGTTTAAAAGACCAGAGTCGAAATTTTGAAGAGAAAGACGAATCTACAGGTCATTTGATAAGAAATACAATATAAGAAACGTGCAAGTACTAATGTCTTTGCTGGATTCTCAAACGTTGACATCGGTGGTTTTAAACATATTAATATCCTTTCTCCCTTCTCCCCTAAAAATAATAATGAAAAATGATATATCAATATTTTTTTTATCATACAACTAATATATAATTTATTTTAATAATAACAATAAGTTTTATGCTTTTTTATAAGTTGTTTTTGTAGCATATGCCACAACTAAATTGTTTGTAAAAAATAAAAATAAAAAACCTTTTGTGTATGGTACTTTTCTAAGGTCTCAAAAAATATTTAAAAATCTTGCATATTCTAAAGCTAGTTTGTTTTTATTGACATTATAAAGTAAAGGGCTTATAAAATTAATTTTTCTTTTGGACCAGACTTAGAAGATAGGACACAATTGTCCTGTTCCTCCTAGGCGGCTGTTTATACATACAGAAGTGTGATTGCAATTTAACTCTTGTTCTAATTGTTTGTGTTGTAAAAAAATTTCAACTAATTAGAAAAAATAATATATATATATATATAATTATTATTAACCTCAATTCTTAAATATTATGAAATTCATAATTAAAATAATTAAAAAATGTATAATTAAAATAATTTATTTTTTATTTATTCTTAATTCTTAAAATTAAGTTTTTTAACCTATTTAATAATTAAAAATATAGCACAAATATGATAATGTTTATAGGTATAAATTGAGAAAGAATAATAATTCTTAATAAACTTAAAATAAAAATTTATTAGTCCTTTTGTTTATTATTGTATTTATTTGTTTGTAAAAACTTATTCTAATTGTAATCTATTGCAATCACATTTATTATTTGAAGAATTGAAATGAGGTGGTAAGTAACTCAGCATCACATTTATGGTTTTGAGCCTACCCTTTCTTTCACCCATTATTGAATCTGAGTTATGGATGGAGTAATAACTTTACCTATTTTCTCAACATTGACACTGTACCCACAAACACAATGCACCTTGCGTGCACTGTAATCTAATCCAATCCAATCTATAATTCATTTTTGAATTCATCACCAAACACCTTAATTTGGCGCTTAACAGTGTCCACCGCAACCATGTGTGTGTATATATATATATATATATGCATGCATATAACTTTACTTTTCAGGAACTACTATTCCCATCCTCAACAAACACTACCCTCTATGTATAGGTTTTAGATTTTACAATAACTAACCTAATTAATATATAAAATTATTTTTATAAAAAAGGTTTCATCCAATGTTCGTACAAGCTCTTCTTGTTGCTGAGTTCTTTATAATCGATCAACAAACTCACTACTTTCAGTTTCATTTCATGCAGTATTCTCTTCATTAAACTCCATATTCATTTCTTCATATTCTCATTCTTTTAGCATTATCAACCCTTCAATATTCTTTCCTTTATCACATTACACAGTGTTCTTTCGTAGTTAAGATGAGGTTAATGTTATTATTATCAGGTTTGTTTTTTTTGGTTTTGTTGTTGAAGTGTGCTGTGGTGCTGGGTGATACCGATAGTGATCATGCTACAAACGTGATTACGTGGGACGATTTCATGGTGGATGAACAAGGTACAACATCAAACGTTGGTGGTCGAGTTATTGTGGTCGATCAAAGTGGTAACGGAGATTCAACAACGGTTCAAGGAGCTGTCGATATGGTTCCTCAAAACAACAAACAAAGGGTCAAGATATACATTTATCCTGGAATTTATAGGTTTGTAATAACAATTAGCTTTTCGTACTCATTTTCATCAAATAGTAAGATTTTATATAATTTTCCTCATGGCTTTTAAGTCTCGTCATCCTATGTTTTCTTTGCTAGTTCACTATTTTTAGATCAACAAATGTGATATATAATATAACATTTTTATCTCTTTTTTTATATTTGAAATTTTATTCGAGTATTATAATATGATATTTTTCTTCGTCTTCTTTCTGAGCAAGAGTTATTGGTCTTTATTTACCGACCTTCTTCATTTACTCATAATTATGATAATGAAATGTGCAGTAATGAATGTTTTGGTGGCACACAATTAACTTATGCAGAGAAAGAGTGCATGTGCCGAAAAGCAAGCCGTTTATATCATTTATAGGAAAACTTAATGTAACAATGAATGCAAATATAGAGGCGATAGGGAATGGCCTTGGCACAGTTATAATCACAAACAGTACAAAGGCATCAGACAAAGACTCCAACGGCCAAGAAATGGGCACCATTAGTACAGCAACTCTATGGCTAGAATCTGATTTTTTTTGCGCAACTGCTCTTACAATTCAGGTAATTAATTAAGGACTAATTCTTACTTAATTGGTGCAATTAGAACTGAAGTAACCATAATTATTCAATTGTAATAGATCGGAGAACTAAAGTTTGATGTAATATTGTTTTTGTTCTGACTAGAAAACAAGACATGTGCGTAATTTGTTTTGCAGAATTTGGTAGACAAAGATGCAGATAAACGTCAAGCAGTAGCATTGCGTGTAGACGGTGATAAAGCCGTATTCTATGGAGTTAGGCTTGTGGGGGAGCAAGACACCCTTCTTGATAACACAGGAATCCATTATTTCTATCGAAGTTACATTCAAGGATCTGTTGATTTTATATTTGGCAACGCTAAATCGTTGTTTCATGTAAATAACCTCTCATTTTGGTTGTTTTAAATGTCTTCTTTCACACAAACATAGCTTATGCAAAATCATTTTTCATTTCTTTCTTGTAACACTTTGGTTATATTGTCTGGCACCAGGAGTGTGTTCTATACTCTGTAGCTGAGTTTTGGGGAGCAATTGCAGCTCATCACAGGGATTCAGAAGATGAAGATACAGGCTTTTCGTTCGTTAATTGCACAATCAAAGGAACCGGTAGTGTCCTTCTTGGTAGAGCTTGGGGGAACTATGCAACAACAGTATATTCAAACTGTGACATGGATGATGTTGTTAATCCCTTGGGATGGAGCGATTGGGATGATCCATCAAGACAAGAGTATAATTCCAACTCTCCTTTCAATTATCTCGATTGTTATATAACAAGAAAAAGCTGTTACAAAAGTTCAAGATTTTGAAAAATTGTCAATTTCGTTGCCTTTCATTGGATATTGTGAAAAAACTACAGACAAATTAACTGATATGATCATATAATTAATCACGGTTGCAAACACTTGATGTTCACAGATGCTGTTTTTTAAAACATGGAAATGGTAATGACTAATCATGATAAGAAAAGGAAAATTGTATACGGAAATGATTGAAAAAAGCAAACAATATTTTCAACTTTTGGTCTTCTGGTTTTGACAGGACTGCAATGTTTGGGGAGTATGAGTGTTCAGGAAAAGGATCAAACAGAAGTGAGAGGGTGGAATGGTCAAAAGCTCTAAGCAGAGAAGAAGCAATGGCTTTTCTGAGCAGAGACTACATATATGGAGATGGATGGCTTAGACTATAATAGCCACTTCTTCCACTCTATCATATACATGCTTCTCCGTTCATCTCAAAGTCATATTTTTGGGTTTAGTTAATATAATCGTATTACTCAAATTATGGGTTTAGTTAATATACTTGTATTATCATTATATTGATTACATGAATGTGAAATTTCACTTGTAAAGTGGGTCAATTTCTCACTGAAAGGTGGAAAAAAAAAATGCACAAAGTAAAAAAATTTCCATTTCTTTTTCTGGCTGAGTTTTTTTCTTGCACCTGTTCGGAATATATACTAATTCTAATCATAGTTATGTGATTATCAACAAATAATATTTTGTTTATATGAAACTCTACACTAAGATAAAATACTTTACTGGTTCTTTTTATCTGACTAATAATAAATATTATTTTCAATTGAACAAAAATATATATGATTTTTTGACAGAGAAACTACTACATAAATTATATAAAACCATCTCTTAAATATATAATGTGACATTAGGTTGAGAATTTAGTAACCTAAAACGCATACATAACGATTAATGGTTAATTTTGGGAAATAAAACAAACACTTTCTTTTAAAGTAATTTCATCCTTCAAGGTTGTCACGTCACCTAACGAATCTATCATTAAATTTTAAAAATATCTTTTTTATAATTACTTTTAATGTCATAGTTTAATAGAATATATTATCGTTTTTTTTTTTAAATCGAAACCACTCGCAACTTTTTCATAGAATATTTGATTATATTTTTAATAATAAATGAAAAAAATGTATACTTTTAATATGTGTTTTTTAATAATACAAATTTACTATAAGATAAATTATTATAATTAATTTATTATTTCTAAATAATAAATTAGATTATATATATTTTATTTATAAATATATAATTAAATTAAGTTATATATATATATATATATATTAAAATAAAATAATATAATAATCAATACAAAGCTATAAACATTGTCGTTAGTTTTTATAATTAATTCGTTGTTTGGATTAAAGAATAGCTTTAAGAGAAAGAAAGAAAGAAAGAAAAAGATAAATTATTTATATTAAAAAAATAAAAAATAATAAAAATAGATAAAAATTTATAAAAAATCAAAATTAATAATTAGTTAAATAATATTTCTTTACAAAAATATAATATAATCAATTATGTTATTTTATATAAAAATATATACTTTTTTTTTATCTTTTTCAAATTTCTTCCCATAAGAGAAGAAAGAAAATAATTTTTGAAAAATGAGAAGTGGAGGCATTTAAAAATGTAACTTTTGTTTCATTTCTCACATATACAATTTAAAAATATCGAACAACAGTTTTTCCGAGAGATATAATGTAGAAGGAACACTGTGCCAAATATATGTATCCAAAATTAAAAATAGGAAATGTGATTAGAAAAAAAGTGTGAATAAATACTAAAAAAAGTAAAATGTCTAAGTAAATTACTGAAAATTAAATAATTGAAATAAATAAACAATAAAAAAAATTATAAGAACATATCCAATATTCAACTCGTTACTTAATAAAAATAATATATTTTATGAATAATTACATTAATCGATCTGGTATTCAGAATTTTTAAATTTTAATAACACTAAAAAATGAGAAATAAATAAAATAAAATATCTTATAAAAATATTTTGCCTAACCATTCTCAATCATACCAATAATTAACTTCTTGAATTATATTTATTAAAATAAAACAAATTTTAGAATTATTTTATTTTATTTACACAATAACAATAACGTTATATATAATACTTATTTAAATATTTTTGAATTGTTTAAAATCAGTTTAATTTGAATTTTGATCGTATAACTTTTTTCAAAAGAAACTATTTTTATAAAAATTTTAAAAAAATTAAGACATTCTAAAAAATTTATTATCATTTAAAGTTAAAATATTATATTAAATTAATATTTAATTATAATAATTAAATTATTTTTAAATTACAAATAAAATGTAAATAAAAAAGATTATAAAATTATTTATTAGAATAAAATTTTTATAAATTTAATATAAATTACTTAAAAAGTAAATAACATAACAAATTTTATTTAAAGTAAAATAAAAACTTTAATATTTTACTTGTAAGAACTTACAGGGAGATAAGAAATAAGTAAAATGTCCATATAAAGTAAAAGATAAAAAATATTGTATTAACCCATTAATTAAAAAAAATATTTATAGCAAATAACAACCTTCGATTTCATGAAAATATCACATGTCTACTGTCGGAGAGGAATAAAAAACGGTTTAAAATATGAAGGTTTCATTTTTCATACAAATAAAATACCAGAAAATATGTTTTTATAACCACCAAACAAATGTAAAAAATTGCATAAAATATTGGAGTATTCATAGTATGAAATGAAGCACATTTCATGTCTGGAACAATTGCAAGAATCTTGTCCTAAAAAAACAACCAAATTCGTGATTGGTTGGTATTTTTGAACTTTAAATAACCTTTTGCTTTGCTTAATAACCACTTCCTTTATTTTTGTTACGTGAAACGGTGGAAAACAACTAAATGAAGCTTATTTATGCAACTAATGAATCACTCTAACCAATTATTTTCTATAACGTCCTATAAATAGAAGTATCATTATTGTTCATTCAGAGTTGAAAGGATCATGGAACTCATGACACCCTCTGTCTTTCTTTTCAACTCTTTTTTCCTTAAATAATCACATTTATCATCCTTTTTCAAAGAAACGCCTTCAACTTTAACTGCTCTTTACTTCCTACTATTATCTTATCTTCCTCAATTCAGTGAACAACCCAATAATTGATCAAATGTTAATTCAGAATTAACATAACATTATGTATTAATCATCAATGGACTCCATCAGCTTTTACATAACTCAATATCTTAATTACCACCAAAATCATTTAGATTCAATACAAGTTAATTAAGTATTGTATTATATTATGTCAAGCACCACCATAATTAATGTCTATTGTATCATCTCACTTCGTATAGTTTATGAAACAATTGCAATCATTATTTCTCTGCACAAGATACTTAAAACATTCACACTCGTAGTGGTGGCTGAACCATAACTTAGAAAATCTACCTCAAACCAGATGAAAATTAAACATTTCAACATTGTTCCAGCGCTATTCATACAAAGATGCAGAGTAATTCAAACATGTCTAATCAATTAAATCTTAGCTGAACAAAAATCTGAACAAGGGTGGTGACAGTTACGATAGAAGTTTGTCATATGTAGATAAAGGAGGGAAAAAGAACATTTGAATAAAGTCTTGAATCAAGCAAAAAGAAAGAAAGATCCAAAGACAAAAGCTGGCAGAGTGGGGGGAAGTTGCACTCAAAATCCGCACCCATGAATCTTCAACCGTTCTTACTGTTGTTGCCTTGTTCATCCTTTCTACACTGTACCACGTTCTCTTCTTCTTTTATAGGATCAACTTTTTAAAAAAAATGAACTTTCAGTTACCCAACACTCTTTCTTCTGCATTTGGCAAATTTCATTTATTCAACGTTTCTACCAAAAAAAAAAAAAAAAAGAGAACATAGACAAGGCTTTTGAAGTTCCTTCTATTGTTTATTTTATAAGTCTCTCTCTTTTTATGTTTCATAAAAACAACATGCATGGCTTACTAGGATTGGAATAGACGTATATATCACCATAACGCTCGCACATTTATTGCAATCAGCTACTTCATGCCTCAACTCTAGAAAAACGTTACTCCACTTATTCATCAGTAACAAACAAGCTTTTTGTTCTCATTTGGAGTTTCATTTTCTCACTTTTGTCCTATAATAACACCTTAACATATTTAACACACGCCCGTTCATGCTTAGTTTCTTATTCTTTGTGTGGTCACACAATGATGATGATGGGGTCGGTGTCTTCCAGAGTTCTGTTATTGTTTGTGTCGGTATTCGTGATGTGGGTTCATGTGGATTTAGCAGAAGGTGAAAATGGCCATGGTGGCCTTGTGAACTACATTAGTTGGGAAGACTTGCAGGTGGATGAGCAAAGGTTGTCTATGAAATGCCATAACGATCTTCGAGTCATTATTGTTAACAAACACGGTAGGGGACATTCCAAAACTGTTCAAGGGGCCGTGGATATGATTCCTGAAAATAACAAACATAGGGTGAAAATTTACATTTATCCAGGAATATACAGGTCAGTAATTACTTGCATGATTTTCATAGTAGCTCTGGTGTTGTTTTTCTACTCAAATTTCAGTTCATAACTACTTCTAAGTTTTGTCCTTTCAAAATTAGATTTTATCTTTGACTTTTTTCATCACTGTGTCTTTGTCATTATTATTCAGTCCTAATCAGAAGTCTTGTTTCAATTCTCTGTCTCAATTCTCCTTTTGAAAACATGATCTTCTGTTTTTGGGGTCTTGAAGCTGGGTTTGGTTGGTGTTTTTGATCAATTGTTACACTATTCCTAAAATTTCGCTAGTCATTAAGGCCTTCTCCTTACTTTTTGTTTTCATTAAAAACTTGACTTATGTTTGTTTGTTTGTATACCCTTTTGTTTTTATGCAAATTGTGCAGAGAGAAGGTGCGTGTGCCTGTGACCAAGCCTTATGTATCGTTCATAGGGAAAAGAAATCAAACAGCAAGTCCTGTTATTACTTGGAACAGTAAGTCGTCTGACAAAGGCACAAATGGCCAAGCATTGGGCACCTATGATACAGCAACAGTTGGAGTGGACTCAGATTATTTCTGTGCAACTGGGGTCACTTTTGAGGTAAGAACAAAGTTTTTGTGTACATTTTTCAACACATTCACGCATTCAGCAATTCGGAATTATCAGATGAAAATTAAATTGCTCGTATGTGCTCAGTCAATCAACTTAAAACATACACCCAATTTTCATTCAACCGCTATAATTGCATGAATATGTGGAAAAGTTTCTGCATTAAAGCCGATTCCAACACGTGAGAAGTGCAATTTGGATTATGTTAAATGGGAATCTTTGTGTGGTTGCAGAACTCAGTGATTGCAACGGCTGGTGTAAAAGGGATGCAAGGAGTGGCACTGAGGGTGAACAGTGCAAGAGCCATGTTCTATCGAGTGAGGATTAAGGGAACACAGGACAGTCTATTGGACAACACAGGAAATCATTACTTTTTAGAGTGTCGCATTCTAGGAAAAGTTGATTTTATTTGTGGCAGTGCAAAATCACTCTATGAGGTAATATAACATAAGCCTTTTCTTATGTTACTAGGATAAAAAGTGGTGACCAAGTTTATTTAATTCTGACCCTTGAGAACTATGGAGCAGAAGTGCCGTCTGCAGTCAATAGCGGACAACTTTGGAGCAATAGCAGCACATCATAGGAATTCACCAAATGAAGACACAGGTTTTTCTTTTGTAGGGTGCAGTATTAGAGGAAGTGGCAGAGTATACCTTGGCAGAGCATGGGGGAACTACTCAAGAATTATATACTCCAACTGCAACATGGATGGCATTATTATTCCTGAAGGGTGGTCAGATTGGAATCACTCAGACAGAAAGAAGTAAGATATTATTGTCATTCGAGATCATTACATAAAAATTATGAGTTTGTTATATACTAGTTTTTTTCTTTGTTTAAATATGACATTATGGAATTTCAGGACTGCAGTGTTTGCTGAGTATCAATGCAAAGGAAGAGGAGCAGATAGAAGGAGCAGGGCACCTTGGTCAAAATCATTGAGCTATAATGACGCAAAGCCTTTCCTTGACAAGAGTTTCATAGATGGAGATCGGTGGCTCAGACTATAGCATTCCGATGAACAAATGGCATCACATGTCATATAATTCTTTATTAACTCATCTGCTTATGTATTATCTCACATATCCCACGTATCATAAATTTTTATGCATAGCCTTCATCTGGGAAGGGGATGTTTTTTATGAGTATGTGTGATATGTGAATAGTACGTACAGGGTCTCCTATGCTTAATCTGTATCATAATAATAAAGAATCTTGACGTCCTCTTCCTTTTGTTAATACTTGATGCAACACTTGCCATGAAATGTAAGCACCATCGTTGCCATGTTATTTGGTTACCCTACTATGCTTCCATTTAATGCACTAAAAGCAAAAGGACTAAAAGAAGAAAATAAAAGCCTTGTAAAGAGGGAAAAGTAAAACAAGTGCGTGTTTAAACATGATTGGTCGGTGAAACGATTTACTTTATTTAAATAAATAAAATTAATCATTGTTTTTATCTAGAAACGGTGAAATGAAATGTTCAGTTGAATAGAAGAGACTGAGGCAATAATTTTTCTAAAAATGAATAAAAATTATTACAATATCCTATTTAATTTATATATATATTGTACATTATCATTTTCTGTGTATACTATATATTTTTTAAATATATTGCCGCGACTACCACTACCACATAAAAAACTGACTCTGCAAGTTTACCTTATTTATTAAAAAATCACTTATTTTTTTTCCAAAAACCGTAAAATATACGAGTCGTTACCTAGTACTAATAACAAATTCAAGAAAGGGTGAAAATTCATCTTTTATTTTATTGTGTTTGATATTCAAAATTTCTTTTCACACATCAAGGAAATCAGTTATACCTGGGAGCAGAATGAACTACAACACGATCAATAAAAATCTTTTATTATGTCACTTGTAAAATGTGACAGTGAATCCTAGCCACTTCTGAGCAAATATAATTGAGGCTAAATCACCTTGCAAGAAACATCTAACATCAAGAACTCATCAGGTGAAAAATAACTCCATCCCCCTAATTAATAAGAGCTTTTTCCAGTAACAGAATTACAATAGGCAAAAAAATAATGGTTCAAGACATGGGTTGCAAGACTCGCGTAAAACAAAATCTACATTTTCTCTATTTTATGTAATCACTTGTCAACTTGCAGCGACCTCAAAATCATTGGTGAACAGACCAAAATCAACTTGCAATGAAACTGACCATCTTATTTCCAGAAGCGACCACGATGCTTCTGTTCTTGCATTCTCCTGCATCATTTGGAAAAATCAAGAGCAAATATGTTAGTTAAACAGAACAGGATAATTTAATCTCTATGACTGAACAGTAATTTCATCACAAGTTTTAAGGGATATACATAAACTACCCATCAAATATAATCGACTTCATATCCCATCATGCTTATCGGAATCTACTGAAGCTCGTAAGATCTAGTACAGTCTACAATGCACCCAAATCGCTAAATAAAATGGTCGAAACTTGGGGAGGGGGTTAGGGGCAGGCCCATCTGTCTCCCAATCCCAAAATCCCATTATCATGAATGGATCAGAAAACTAGAAATACAAAACCATCGAAACTTCTGCATCCATGCCCAAGACCGTACCTTGTGCCACACTAACATATAGGAAAGATAGAAATATCCTCAAATTTGATGCAGAAAAAAAAAAATATTCATGTGAGCCTAAAATGCAATTAGACCAGACAAGTAAAGGTGCATTAGGTCTGCCTCCTGTTTCATTTTGAGTAGATATTTTTAATGACGACTACAGAAAAGCCACCATGTTTTCATTATGTTTCTTATTTTCAAAGTTTTGTAAAGGAAAAATTAACAACAAAAGCTAGGCTTCGTTATTCACTTGAAAAAAAAAATGAAAACACAAATGAAAACAGCACTACATTCTCATTACTATCAGTAAAAACATAATTGAATTAAAACAAACCAAATGCAATAAAAAACTTGTTTGACTTGTTCCCTTGTTATTAATTTTATATTTTCATAATAATTATAATTACAAAAGTTATATACCTTATCTTCATTAGTTTGCCTTTCAAATTTTGTGAAGAAAATAATAAAAATAGTATAATCTTCAAGGTTTGTTTAATAGATTAAATGTTACCTCTGATGCTCTTTGGAACGTCTGATAAATTCACTTGGAATATCACATCCTTCGTAAGATGCTAGCACTTGTCTAATATCAGATGGACTACTACGGGCAACAACTGCAAATAGATATTTGAGAAGGTAAAGTAACTTGTACAAGGAAAAAGTAAAAAGTCACTACAATAATTTCAAACAAGAATTTGTTTTAATTACATCTGAACGGAACAGTGTTACACTCAAGGAGTGATGTGGAAAATAAAAGATAATAATTCAAACATGATCACATTCTTCAACATATCTTAAAGGAATGCTTACACTCAAGAAATGGTATAAAATCCAAAAGAGCCGTGTCATCTGTATCTTGCTGCTGCCAGGGCTTAACAGGAACACAGTTCTCAGGTTGTAGACAAGTTTCCAGAGCATGGCCGCTGAAATAAAGGACTTTTGCTGGATTTCTGTTTAATTTTGAAAGGTCCTGCCAAGCAAAGGATGGAAAAAGGGACAACATCTAATTATAAGTATATCCAGAAAACCACCTGTGAAGTATCATAATAAAACTGTTGGTCTTCTGTTTACATTCTTCAGTTGTAAGTAAAATTATTTATCACTGTTATTGTATTAAATAGTATATAAACAGATATTATTTCCAAGGCACTTGTTCATTCTTATTATTTGCCATGATAGGCTGTACTACTTCCACAGGAATTTACATATATAATTTTAGAGAGAATGATATAACATAGACACATACTCTGAAGTGTTTCCCATCCTGATACTTAGTAGCTGGCCTTGACAGCCTATATCTAATGCAATGTTTGGTATCCAGCCTTTCTATGACAGGATCAACAAACTGCACAAATCAACAAATGTAAGGAAATATGAAAACTATAGAGAAGACTAGAGAGAATATAGAGCAGAAGAAACAGATTACCATATTCTGTTCGTCTGTGTAAACCACTATTTCGTAGAACTGAGCTAAATGTTCCAAGAAGGCATCGACTCCAGGTCTTTTGAAAGTCTGCCAACCTGTATCTCGCTTTACATACCATATAAAAGCAATATTCAATATTATAGTCATATCTCTACAATATGTAGGGACTGCTATCAAGAAGCAATCAACATGAGATCCAATGCATTTTTTGAGACATAAAGGATTGAGGAATGTAAGCAAAGCAACACACTGTTTACTGTTGGTTGAAATTCATGCATCCTACAACAGATTAGTGCATCCTACAACAGATTAGTGCATCCCACATGAATTTCAACTAATAACAAAGAGTGATTTGAAAAGAATACTGCTGTGGTGCTGCCGGCTAGCATTTCTCATGAAGGAAATTGTCACTCAATAAAGCACAATACTACCTACCACCTATATTTTCTACCAACAAAGAAAAAGCGGGTTTGCAGTAGACATCTTACCGTCCAAATGTAGTGAATCAATGTTTCGTTGAGATCAAGAACAAGTGTAAACACATGTTGCTCCTGAGGAAGCAAATCAGGAAGGAGCTTGTCTGTGTATGGTTCAGTATAACTCTAAAAGAAGCAAGAATACCATATTAAACAAAAGTAAGAAATAGATTTTTTCAAATAGATTGTTAAAAAGAAGCAAGAATACCATATTAAACATACCCTAACTTGTTCTTCAACCAGCCTTCTTGCATCCAAATAAAGCTCTACTGCTTTAGCAGGCACTGGGGTATCCATAAAAAAGAATCAGCACGTCATTAATAAAAAAGGCATACAAATTATAACTAATAGGGAATTGCATGCCACACCCCTCCTCCCCCAAAAATGTGCATACAATATTAATTTGTCTGCAGTGATTCTCTTCTACAATACAACAAGTTCTTGCCACTGATTTCTTCTCTTTTTCTACCCCCACACCCTTCGAAGGTGGAAGAAACATGCTTATATCACATTCTCACCCGTCAAAAAAATTTCTTCAGTAAAAGTAGAGGCACGTGGTTTAATCTGAATATGACCATTAAGTTAGCATTTGTTGTATGCCTAATACTCGTGCAAACAGTATTTTCTCCATCGACATTTACAGATTATTTTCAGTTGAATAAAATTAAAAAGAAGTTAATGCTTATCCATAACAAGAGAACTTACAAAGTCACAAAACAAAAAAATATAAATAACCATCTAAATGACTAACTCACACATTCCCATTCATATAACAGCAATACTTCAGGGGAACAAAACGGATCACATGACCAAAAAAAAACATCGACTATTTATAAAGGAACAGAGTAACACAAATATAGGATAAGTGATGTACAGAATAAAGCTTACTGAACGCACCAGTCATTGCAGTTGAGTAGAGCAAACCTTGAAATTTCTGCACAAATATGGAGTAGAACATGACACCTTACCATATATTAAACTAAAGAAACTATAACTATCATATCAAAATAAGCCTGAATCCAAATGTATGTAACAGTAAGTTCCACTGAAAGCATTTAAAAGAAGGAAAATATTAGGAACTAATCCGATATCAACATTTTACACAAACAATAAAAATCCACTGTATCAAAGTACGAGTAGTGTAGGCAACATACTCCTCTGAATACACTCTCTACCGTTAGCTGAAATTTATTAACATTAAAACTTTTTGTGGGTTTCACTTCTTACTTAATGAGTCTCTCTCTTGATTTTGTAATTTTAAATAAATTTTAACCAAAATTAATTAGTGTTATAGAGTGTGCGCCTGACACTCTCTAGCAAACTATTACCTGGACGTTAAAGTAGTGGGTCATATAATTAAATGTTGGCTGAAGCAAATTCTACGCACAAATGTTAGAGTTCGTATAGCATATGCAGCATTTCATGTAACAATAAACAACATTCCAAAGGAGCCATTTAATCAACCAAATTCAGTTTAGGTATTTAAAACCACAAAATAATTCTAAAAAATCCAGCCAATGAGATCTAAACATAGAATCAGCAAAGAACATTTAATATGAAGAAAGCAGGAAATAGAGTCAGGACTTACGTCGAGCGCAGTGGCTCCATCACCAGCAGTGTTCTTGGCAGATTCACGGAAGGACTTCGTTTTCTCTTCTATTTCCTCCAAGCTGTAAGCTGCACATCGCGTTCCAACAAAAGCAGAATATTCGAATAACACCAATTCCAGATCAAAATGATGTGAATAACAACCCTAACAGATTAAAGTCGCTATTCCGAATTTAAGAACACATATACAAAGAGAGACTCGTAAAAGATACTTAGATTGTATGGATGCATCAACCCTACATGAGTACTATGAAAATGGAAAGAAAAGAAAACGAACCGTAAGAGGCGTAACCGGCAAAGCCGGTGGCTCCGGTAAGAGTGCCGATGACGGCGTATTTGAGGAAGTTCCAGCGGCTTGGAGAGGCGGCAGAAGGAGGAGGGGGAAGAGGAGCGGAAGCTGCATTGGTGCAGAGGAATCGCTTCGATGCGAATGAAATAGCGCGAGATCGAAGGATTCCCAACGACATAATTGGATTTTTTGTGTTCTGTGACTGAGAGAAAGAAGAGAAAAGGGGTTCAAGTAGGGTTTTGCTCCTGCGCTAGGCTGAAAGAATTATCCATCAGCTTCTATAATACCCTGCTACGCGCTATTCCATTCTTACATATTTAACGCTTGTTAAACAATTCGTCAAAAAAAAAAAATTTCTCTTGATTCTGATATAACTTTTTTTCGTTAAATTAAATATTGATTAGTAATTATTTTGTTTCTTTTAAGATTATTAATGAAACACTTGTTCATTTTCGTTACGTAGTTATATTCATTAGCTTTTTTGTAATATTAATCATTAATAATATTATAAAATATATCTGTGTCAAGTTGATTATTTAAATTTATAAACATTATTTAATTACTAACAATAATTATATAGTTCTCATCTCTCTTATAATTTTTAATAAAATAACACATATTTTTTCTAATTCACAAAAAGACATATACCTCTGTTATGTTTTCAACAAATTAAATTAATCACCATTGTATCTTTAATAAAATGCCGTTTATTTCTTTTTATTTCATTTAAAAAAATTATAGAAGTTTTTCTAAATAGTTTTAATCATTACCTTATGAAATACAATTTTATTAAAAGCACAAAAAATATTAATATCAATTTTTAAAAAGAAAAGGAAGATTTTGAAACTATAATATGTGTCATTTTATTAAAAAAAATAAAAAACATTAGATCGAAAGTGGTAAAATGTTGTTTAACAAACTACTCAAGTTTTTGAGTAATCAAACTTCTTTATCAACATTGAAGGTATGTTTGTGCAATTTTTTTAACACTGTTTATGTCATTTCAGTCTTTATAATTCACTATATGTTCAATACATTGCACTTGTGTTAGGGTTAAACCATTTTTAATTTCAAAGCCAAATCTAATTTCATGACCTTGCTCAATTTGATTGCACTCACCTTTGGAAAGTGTAGAGATCTATATTAAAGCTTTCTACAAATACCAAGATAACCAAAACAAAACTAGAGTCCAAGTTACAACTTGATCTTCTATGCATGTCTATCTTTCTCTTTTTTCTAAACCCATGCTGTCTTCTGTTTCTGTCATTTTTCCTGCATTGAAAAACTCAAATAAAGAACCATAGTAGAATTGTAGAATTACCAGAAACAGTAAATCTTTCAGATGCAGAATGATAATCATAGTACTTTCAGATGTAGTAGGTGGTACGCGGTTCAATGAGCGTGTTTTGTCAGTTATGTATACCACGTTCAAACACCAATAACACATAAGCATTGAGCACATAGTTTTTAACTTATATTATGGGATGAAAGTGGAGGTGACTTTGGAGGCCATTGCCTTTCTTCTCCTCCTCTGTCTCTTCTCCAAGCCACTTGACATGGAAACCACAAATTGGTGAACATGAAGAAAACATTTGCTAATATCTGTTACATATAGTACTTTGACAACTGGCTACTTACCCTGCATGTAGTTATCTTCATTTATGACACTGTCCAGAAAGAACAACTGAGCCTAATATGCCATATGCGTCACAATTATTTGCCATCCAAGGGCTTTTTTGGAAACAAAAAGAACAATAGGATCACCCCACCATTCTATATAAGCAGGGCACTTCCATACACCAACCACACCATCTCATAAAAAACTCTGTCACCAACTTTCCTTTCTTTCTTCAGCACACACTATGAATCAACTTAAGAACCAAAATATATCAACCTTGACTCAGAGCCTAAAAGCTCATTACTATCTAGTTATGTTTACCCAATTATTCCTTTCACTATCTGTGTTTTCCTTCCTCTTCTCACCTTCTTCCTTGCTTGTTTTCCTCCATCACTTCAAGTTCTATTTTTCCACATTTCCTTTCCAACTCTTCACCCACAACGTGGACAAGAACTGCATGTTTCTCCTTTGCAATGGTCTCCTTGTTTTTGTTGGTATCACTAAATCTCTCTCCGGGTCTAGATCTGATGATAAGCCTTCTACCTTTATTAAAGATGACGGTTCACCATCTCAGTTCTCAGTTATTGAGGCCAACGAGTTAATGTTGGAGATAACTGAAACGGAGGAAGAAACTAGTGAGCTTGTTGAACAGAACACTGCAGCAGAGAAAGTAATAGAAGCAGAAAACTGTGCTGAAGAAGAAGTACAAGAAAACATAGAGAAGGTAATTGTGGTAGATGAAGGACAAGAAAAAGGAAGTAGCCTAGTTTTGAAAGAAGAGGAGAAGGAGCTAGATGAAGAAACTGAACAATTGGATGTAGGTGATGTAGAGGAAGATAAAAGGTCAGAAATTGATCACCTTCTGACTGAAGAGAGCATGGAAGAGGAGGAAGAAAATGTAGAGGAAGAAAGCAGTAAGTTGAGCACGGAGGAGTTGAACAAAAAATTTGAAGATTTCATTAGAAGGATGAAGGAAGATCTAAGAATTGAAGCTCAACGACAATTAGTCATGGTTTGATTAAACAACAGTGATCTTCTTTATTTCTTTCTTAAGGAGGCGTAGTTATTATTTGTTAGGTCTTTATCCTTTTCTTCTTTAGTTGTAATACCTGTGTCTCTTGAAATTTTACAAAATTTTATCTCTGCCTATGGTAGATATCACGAAAGAGCAAGCTCTGATATGAATTTTCTGTTTAATACGAAGCCATGATCACTAGGTCGATGACACAGTTCGAGGATATAATCACATGTACCCCCTTCCACTACACTACTCACTATAATCTAAGCGAAAAACTGCTAGGATTTAACAGCGCGATGTCATGCATCAGAATAGAAATAAATTTGGACTCTGTTGTATTCTGAAAAGATGGAGTATGATCTTAATAGGGTGAAAAGGAAACAGTCTTTATTATGTAACAACTCATATCACATGATTGATAGCAGCAATATTTAGAGTAATTTGGCGTGTCAGAGAGAAATCAATTCAGAGTAGATGTGATAGTTCCAATTGTTTTATTAAAGAAAAAATTAGTAATATGACTGCAAACAAACAAGTGATTTAAGAGCAGAGATTCAAAGTTAAGAAGAATGTCAGTACTATGTTTATAACAACATGTTGAATTAGTTGTTGAAAGATGACACTACAAACACAAATCACTTGTCTGATTATTAGTATTATATCATTGTCTGGCTACAAGTGGTATATAGAAGAAAACCTGTTCAACTGTGGTTCAACTTCTACTGTATTATTCAACAGTATTCCTAATAATTGAAAACAGGTTTGAGATTGAAATAGCCGGACAGAACAAATGGTACCGCCACAAATCTGATTCATACAGTTCGACCCAACAGTTACTTACTTATTGATTGCCAAGAAAAATAACATATAGATATTATTCCCATCAACTTGTAAAGTACAAACATAGTACCAACTTATTATTGTTTTTCATTTATCTGTATTTTGTTTTTTAGAGGCCTTTCTTTTAAAACTTCTCTCGTTACTTTCATGCTAATTTGATTTGGTTAGTTTGTGTGAATTCAAAGTCCAAATCTCACTTTCATGAAAGCCAGTTTGTAGATCCTGTTTATAGAAGAAATAACTACTTTCATGAAATTTAAACTATGATACTTTGCATATTGTGTCAAAAACAAGGTCATACAAATACTTGCATGAGATAATTAAAACAAAATTATTTGACCATATTTTTTTATCAATGAGTTGAAGATAAGAATACAATATATTTTTTTCTTTTAAATATATATCACATTAATACTTAAAAAACAAAGTACAAACATGTGTAAATTATTATTTTTAGTACACTTTTAAGAACAGTTATTTTTAATAAATATACATTCGTTGTTTTTTTTTTTTTTTTACTTCAATCAAAGACGGAAAATTTACTTGCATTAGAAAGATTGAAGTTCGTGCGGATAGGTATCTCAATGATTGCATGCAACCAACATACGACGGCACTATGAAAGTGAAGATTCATAGATTTAAAATCGGAGTGGCCCAGGAAATATCAATAATTGAGGCACATTTCTTTCAGGTTCAAAGAACTGATAAAGAATAATGGTCAACTTCTCCCAACAAATATGATCTTTCACAAATTTGAATCAAATTTCCGAACTCATACCAAGCATACTTGTTTGATAACCATACTAGATGAAGTCAGTTTGCTTTAAATGTTAATGGGTAACATAACACAGTTGAAGTTGAAGGTGAAGGCACCTAAACATTGCAGGCTGCAACAAATACTTGTGTAATTTCTGAGTGGAATTATTGTAGTCAGGTTTTTAAAATGATATTAATGCCATGGATTAGGAAGGGATGGAGTTAATCAATCAAACTTAGCATGCAGTTCCTTGCTTTCTTTGCAGCCATATACCCCCCATGATTTATCTGCAGTTAAACTTATGCATAAAATGGTAAACAAAAATGAAAAACTTGATGTGACATCTTCATTTTCCTACAAATAAAATGTAGCTTCACCATAAAGTTTAACACATCACTAATAACTTCTTTCTGGATCCTTCACAAAGTCAAACTCGTTAAGCCATGTTACGACGAGTCTGGATTCTCTGTTGTTCATCCTCTTGATATCTGTGCGAGGAGCAGAAGACCAGGTGAAATATGGTCTTAGACGGCGAGAAACCTCACCTATTCATGTACAAAAGACAAGAGGCATAGTATAATGTACGGAAATATTATATTGAAGAGGGATAAATTATTCCGTGGTCTTAAACCATCACTTCTTCATTCTGATTGATTTCTATGTTTTAAAAACTTAAATATGTATGCCTTAAAAATGTTTAAAAATGGATCATTAATAGAATAAACTACTTATAAGTACTAATATTCTTTTACATGATAGATTAATTTTTTTAGTTGAGTTCTCTTTTTGTTCTTAATCTTAATAATTGTTACTTTCCTTGAGAATTATGACAGCAAGAAAAAAACATAGAGAGAGAGAGAGAGATTTTGCTTTTATTTCAGAAAGCGACCGAAGGGTTTGTCTATTATTTACATGCATGGTGTGTGTATGTACATATGGCCAAGAACTCATAAATGCCATTACAGGGATTAAGCAGAAAACTGTGGGCGTCTCATTTTCAGTTTCTCTTAAGTGGATCATCATCAAAAGAGGTAAGTTCCAAGTGGATCCTCCCCAGCAAAGTAAAGTCAACCTCAAAAGTGAAAGGTTTTGTTGGATATTTCTCTTCAGACGAGAGGATATCATTGTATCAAGGTGTTCGAGGTCTGGAAAGATCCTGCCAAACTTGGTGGGACTAACTCTCACGAGACAATAAAAACTAGATAATAGTAGTGAAGTCTCATATCTCTCTTCTAGATAAAAACTACTGCCCTGTGTCCCACAAAGTACTTATTCATGCATGCATGAACAAGGCAATAATACAAAGAAGAAAAAATGGTACATGTGTAACATTGTTACATGAAAAGGGAAAGAGGAGTGTCCACGTGAGCACTTATATATATACATGTGGCAAGAACGTCTCTGACATGAATTATTGATTAGCAGAACAAGAAGAAGCATAAATCACATTGACGAGGACAGCCCATAAGATTGTCCATTCAATATCAATAATGTATGACTCCATTCAAAATAATGAAGTGGGGTCTTTCAATTAGTTGGCTTAGCCCCTTGAAAAAAAGGTTAAATTCATGTGGAGAATGAGAAATGGGAGCTGTATGCTTGCAATTAATTACATCACTGATTTTATATCAATAATGCAACTGAAAGCAAATACACGAATATAAATCTAATTGGACTGCATGTGTATGCTGTAAACGACACATCTTTTGGGATATTGAAAGTAACTATTTTTTACATGTTTTTTCCTCTGGACATAACTTTTATATAGGCTTATCTAAATACATAATATTTTCATAAAAATAATTTCTTAAAATTTAGCAAGATTAAAAAAATCGACTTTATTATTGATAAATAAATATGAACAGAAATGGTTATGACAATTGAGTGAATATTTTTATATCTTAGAATCCTGACAAGAAAGCTTCAAATAAAATTATAATAATTTTAGCAAATGATTTAAGTAGTTTTGAAAAAGACTTATTTTATAATTAATTTTAAATGCAGCACGAACACCAGATACCGAAGACCATTACATTCCTAGTTGCTTAAAATCTTTCTTTTTCTTCGGAAAGATGATTTGCTTCTTCTTCTTTTTTTTCACTTGCATACTTTGTTTTTACACCTTGTTACATGATAATGATGAAAATATCTTTCAAAACCTTTATATTATAGAACGTACAATTTAAAATAAATTTAAAAATTAGCGTTGTGAAACATGTCAATAATATTTATTATTACATAATAATATTCTAAGTATAATTTAAAATATATTCTATACCAAAATATTTTGAAATTTCTTAACATCCATGGATGAAATTTCAGAAAAAAGAAAATAAATAAATAAATAAAGAACACGTCATGACATGAGAAGGCGCAGATAATACTGACATAGTGTGTAATAAAACCAAGCACAATTTAGCTTCTTCTTCCTTTTATATACGTGCATTGCAATTTGTATAGGCTTTTTTAGCAAGTTTGGGTTCAGTATGGTCATGTGTCTATCTAGTACAAAGCTTTCCGGAATTTTTATAAAACCAAACCACCAAGCAAATTGTTTCAAGAAAGTATTATTTATATCGATATTATACATAAAATACTATATATAATGGAAATTCCTTTTCAATAATTATTTTTATGTTATTCCTTAGAAAAAATATGATATATGTAAAAACAACAAGTGTGAAATATATCTAAAAATAAAAAGTAAAAAAATTAAATATAAATTTTGAAAGAAATTAATAAGAAAATAAATATGAATATGAATGTTTTTTAGTATATATGTTTTGATTAATATTACTTTTTATCAAATATATATTTAAAAAAATAAGAAAGAAAAAAATATAATATACATAATGAGTGAAAAAGAAACTTAAAAAAAGAGAAAAAAGAGAAAATTAACAAAAAAAAGAAAGAAAAAAATATAATATACATAATAAGTGAAAAAAAAACTTAAAAAAGAGAGAAAAAAGAGAAAATTAACAAAAAAAATATATATATATATATATATATATATAATACAGAAAAATAAACATTTTAATGTGTTTTCAGTGGTAGAAAATAAAATAAATAAGGCCGAAAAAAATTAATTTTACATTTGGAATAATTTCTTAAAAAACATTTAAGACTTAATTCTAAATAATTTAAAAAAAAATCGTAATAATAAATTTTATTATAAAATAATTTCAAATAAGCAATTTAGAATGTATTCTGAATTTTCATTTTATATATATTTTTAAAAATTACTTCTAAATATATAATTCAGAAAATTTATAATATAATTTTCAAATAATATATTTTAAAAAGTATAACAATTTTAAAAGGTTATTTTCATGACTTTAACATACAAGAAGAGAAATGTTACAGCAAACATTCTACGCAGACCCATTTATGCCTTTACAAGACAATAAGCCCATTCCCCTACCGACGAGTAACTTACAATTTGCAAAACGAGAGAAATTTCGAAAACACAGGACAGCGATACATTTGTGGGATGCGTGTCTGCAAGAAATCGTATAGGGAGCCTTAATCTTCCAGAAATCGAAATAAATGCATGTACTGATCATGCCCTAGTCCAGTTGCTTGTAGAACTTCTTGACACATAAACGACCAACATGCTACATCATCAACTTACTTTCAATTTTAGATGGTATGTAAGATTCTGACAAGAATGAAAGTGCGTGCACAGACAAGGCTTCAATCTCAAACTTCACTCCTTTTTGCAGCATCAGCTTTAGCTCCAACCTTCACAAACAACAAGGCAAGACACACACTATACAATCTCAATCCAGTTGAAGAAAAAGGCCAAGGCCATGGAGTGTATGTGAACAATACCTCCATTGTGGTACCTCCCTTTGAAGGTAGCATCTAAGTAACATGGCTTCAACTTTTCTTTTGTCTAGAAGGAATATTAAGAGCACTGTATTTATTAGATCAGATATGTAACTAGGTCAATCTGAAGCACTGCAAGTTATATCCTTATTTATTACCTTCAGCAGTCAAAGGAAGGAGACACTGGTTTGGAACAAAATATCTCTCAGAATCCGAAGGAAAAGCTCCAAGCCAGTGTATGTCTGGGACACGAAGATGTTTCGTGTCATAAGCCATTTGCTAGCATAAACGTGAATAGTGTAGTTAGGTAGGATATGAAACCTTAACTCAGCCATTATAGAGAGAGATTTAATCCAGTCAATGATCCTACACATTTGATAATCAGATCCCTAAAATTATATGCATGTTGATGTATTTATGAATTGATACACTTATAACATACTGACCATAGAACCAAATCTGTAAGTGGTGAGGATGTCAAACCCATGGGGATCACAATCAACCAAGCAATAAACAGGCAGGCGTAAATTCTCCACCAGAAGCCGCAAAAACCTTTTTGTATACAAAATGCATAAAATCAAAGAAAGGCCAAGCAAGTACGTTTCTAATCGTGCTCACAAACAGACACATTCACTATGCAATATGTAATATGAAAAGCCAAGTTGGCATTGGCTTGATAGCATAATATCTTAAGCATATGAAAAAAAAAATTTCACACCTTCTTGTAGAAATATCTGGGTAGCCTCTTCCCTGTATAAAAATAGAATTCAAACAAAGAAATATTGTTGAACAAGAAACTAATATCTTCAGAAGATTGCTTACAGTGATGACAATACAGTGATTTGCATTGCAGAAAAGGTCGTTTGCCAGTCTTTGAAAAACTGCAAGTGATGTTCAACATGGACGGTCTTTTCAATTGAATCTTCTGTTTTTTATTTTTACTTTTTCCTTTTTTTCCTCCAAAACAAAAGTATTTGCTTACCTGATTCTTTCTCCACCACTAATATGTATCGAGCAACACTAATGATATCTATGCACAAGTTAGGCAATGTTTCTCCCCAATCTAATCACTTTGCATTTTAACATAATATGAAGTACCAAATATAATTATAAGAAGGAAACTGAACAATTGCAGTATTTCCACCTAGAAATTAGGATACCTTGAACTTCTTCAACATGAACAGGAACGAGGTGGGCCTGCAGAAAAGCCAAATATCTGCAGTTGGTTTAAATGGTAAAAACCAACTACTTCATTCAGATCAATTCTTAGTTCTTACAGTGTTGGGAGAACTTATGCAGTCAAATATCCTTTCTCCTTCAGAGAATCTTATCCAGCCCATAATTAACCTGCAGCAGAAACAAACTTGATCCATTAGTCTTACCACTTTCCAGTTAAACATGTCATTATAAAATGAAAAGCTAAATAGAAGGCAAGATTATCAGCTTTGAGAAAATTAATTAATAATTACTACTGCAGCAGTACGGGAGAATTTTGATGACAGAATGCCAACCTTATTGATGTACGTTCAGTGGAATCATATTTTCTGACTATAATTAATTATAACGTCAATGAAACAGGGATCTCATAACTTGAAAGAAGTAGGAAATTTAAAATACGTGTCCTTTGAACTTATAACAAATTCTATTTTCTAGATGCGCCAGCGGAGAGATTGTATTTTATAAAAAAAAATGTACGCACATCCATGAAATATTATTACATGTGAAACTAAACTACTGCTATTATTATTATTATTAGAAACATGCTGACAACAAAGTGCATTTTCCAAGATTGAGTGTGATCTCATATTGTACCCCTTCCCGGCGGAAACCTAAAAGAATGAAAATTAAAAAAGTGTAAGCATCCCAAACATTAAACGTGGATAACTTTCTGTTTCTAACAAATAATTTGCAAAAGAAGCATATCACAACTCAGAAGTTTTATTCGCCAAAATCCACCAGACTAAAAGAAAAATGGCTTAAAATGTCAAAGCCATAAACTACCACATTGAGGTTATGGCGACTGCACTGCATAAGAATACATATGTCATTAATTGCTTGGTCCACCACTGACTGATCTGCATTGTGGAAAAGAAAAATAGATTGCAAGAAAAAAAAAAAAAAAATTCAGTGTGTCATGGGAAGTTAAACTTGACCAGAAACATGTAACAGGTATTAGCACTCGCTGTTAAACAACCTAATATCCAAGATTGTGACAATTTGAACCTGAGTATAAGTAAAATTATGGTACATTTTTGAAAACTTTTGTGACAAGAAAACATCGAAGGTTTTTTGTTTTTAAGGGCAATTGTATAAGTAGAAATGAAACTTGTAAACCGGTCAACTTGATTTCATCCATGCAGCAGTGTACTAAAATAAAAATCATGCTTTAGTCAATGGTAACCTAGAACTCTAATGCAACATCAACTTATAATAACAGCCAGATCCACAAAGCAAAAATATCTCAAACCACGATGAGAAAGACAGTTGAAGACATAAATGAGTGAGTCCTAACTAACTCATGATTTGCAAAGGCAATTTGGTTTCAACACGGGATACTGCAATACATAATTATGGCAATATTTCTCCCTATGTTTTGAAAATCAATACAATTTGACAAGATTTCTGCTTCCAAACAATGGTTCTCACTCATCATCTAGTTAAAGTGAAGAATACAATCCATGCTCAAATCGAAAGACTCACCTAAAAATAGAGAAGGATACGTGTAATAAATGTCTCTCTTAGAACTATGCTTGTTCTCTTGCAGAAGTTTCTGAACAACCAGCATCACTCTCAACATGACAACTGATAGCGGAACACATCCAAAACAAAAAAACTCATCAAAACATCCAAAACAGAGAGTCTCGTAATTCGTAATCGTGTATAGAATTTTCATCTCACGCAAATAGTTAAAGAATAGCCAAAAGGATATATATATATATATATATATATATATATATATATATATATATATATATATATATATATATATATATATATATATATATATATATATATATATATATATATATATATATATATATATATATATATATATATATATATATATATATATATATATATATATATATATATATATATATATATATAATAATCAAAGTCGTGAAATGAAAAAAGGAGAGTGACCTAGTCTGTGCGCGTGGGATTTCCTGCGGAGTGTGAGAACTTCCTTTCCGGACGGCAAATCGGAGGCACAAAAGCTGCATTGCGAAGAATTGTGTCAGAAACGAAAAGGTGAAACCGTATTTGGTTGGGATTAGAACGGAACCAGTTGGCGTTGGGAACAGCGCAGTAGCTTCTGAAGCGATAAATGAGAATGAGCGGTGAGCGTCCGTTGGTGAGGTCTGCAAGCAGAGCTCGAGTGAATTCTGCAAATGCAGATAGAACAATTCTTCAGTCGAGATTTAAGGAGAATTTCAATAACAATTTGTTCGGGTTTGGCGAATTGAAATTGAATGGTTTCGTTACCTTTAATTTTCGCGAGAAGAATCACGCTCTGTGGCTGTGACTCCGATGGGAACCTCGTCCTCTTTCCCTCCATTTTTTGGCCTCTAATCTTCTCCTCTTTAAATTTTAATTTAATATATATACTTATACGAATATTAGATCGGAATTTGAAAAGTTAAATTTTTCTATAATATTGAATTTGTTCATTCATAACTCAACTTACACTTAAACTCCGCCATTTATTACTAAATTTATAAAACAAAATCTCATTAAAAAATATAACTAAATATAAAATTAATTTAAACGAATTGGTGGAACCCATCCATGAATTAGTGGGAATGGGAGCATGTCCTTCTTCTTTTCTGACAACCAGCCATGAAAGAAGTCAAAATACAGTTGATGAAACATGAAAGAACAACAGCCAAGTGGACCACAAATAATGAGACTTTTTGTTTTGTCCCTTCTCAAAACAAGCAATTTTCTTTACTAAATAAATAAACAAATTAATTCTCTTAACGCGCATATTTATTCATGATTAATATTAAATTGTGAAGAAACTGTCAAATGGGATCCACTTCCACTACCAGAAGCTTTCAGAAGCCTTTGCCATACTCATCTCTCGTCTCCTCCAGCATCAATGAACCGCTTCAAAGGTTACACCCTTCCTTAGAATATGAATTTACATTTCTTGTTGTTGTGATGGGTTTGCTTCCTCTTCGCTTCTTAGTTCAACGCATGCCTTTCTTCTACAAGCTCGATTCATACTTCATTGGAATTACCACTGCTTTGTTTGAATTCTGTTGATTAGTCACCCATCTGTAAATTTTGCATATTTGTTTTATACGTGAAGAGTGTTAGGTTAAACTTGAATTGCACTGTTTCTTTTTCTGGAAATGGAGAAATTTCAAGCTCCTTGAAATGGACCGCAGTTGGACAAGTCTTTCACACGATTAACCTTGAAGTATTGACTGTTATTCGTCAATACAGATCCACTTTGTTAGCTTAATTTCTCCCAAATTTGATGCATCACTAGAGTCTCAACTTCTTAATCAAGGAGTTTTTTTGTCCCTTTGGCTTTAGGTTGTGATCTTGAAGCATATTCTATTTCTTTTAATGCCTCTTGCAAGTTTTAATTTTGAAGGCATAAACTCCGACTTCTTTTTTGTAATTTTGAGTTGCGGTCATTGGGAACTGTTTTGGCATACAGGATTCCCCATGGCCAGTGGAAAATACTTCCGAGGGTGAAATTCATGAGGTGAAATTGGAATTTACTTCAAATCTGTGTTGTTTTCTAAAACCAAACTTCGTTGATTTCAGGTTTATCACATCATTTTTATTTTTTTTTTATGTTGATAACATAAGTTGGATTGTTAAATATGATGAAGCTGGTGTAATTTTATTAGAATGTGATGTGTTTTGAATTGGACATTGAGAAATTGAGAGCTAAAACAGGGAGTCCTTGTTCATTTGTTGTGTTCTCTCAACGATTTTTTTTTGGCATCTGGAGCCTCATGTGCAGAATCACTGTTTCAATACTTTTATGCCCCTATTAGTTATTGTGCTTACAGAGTCACAGTCCTCCTCTGTAGCTCAGAAGAAATGGATGCATTTTCTGCCTTTGCTTCAAATGAAGGCAGTCAAGGGTCGCCATTGACGAGATCCATATATGGCTTGTAATGATCCAAACAAGTTCCTCTTACGTTTGTGAAGGCAGTTGAAAAAGTAGAACTTGGAATGGTCACTGACACCAATTCTAGTATATCTTTGAACACACTAGTATATTTTTTCGGTGAAGCATTTTAGATGAATTTATATTTTATAATATCCTTCATCTTTTAGGACTTTCATGTCTAATGACTTCTGGATGTTCATATACATTCCTTTCTTATTTAACTGATGTTCCTAAATTCAGCTGCATGGCCAACAATGATGTAAAGGAGCCCTTGCTGTCAGGATCACTGGATGAGACTCAAAAAGCGAAACGGCAGTTAAACAGGAGAAGGTTACTCCGTTCTAGAAGTGCTCCTCACACAGATCTTGTTCCTTCTGAGACACAGAGAAATGAATCTCCTCCTCGAACTACATCCATATTTCAGAATTTACATCCAAGTTTTAGAAGAGTGGCTATCTACCTTACAGTATATTTAGGTGCAGGTGCTTTAATCTTCTACCTTGTCAGGGACCAGATTAAGGGGATGAAAACAGATGGAATTCTTGATGCTTTGTACTTTACAGTTGTTACAATGACCACTGTTGGATATGGAGACCTTGTGCCAGATAGCCACCTTACAAAACTACTTGCATGTGCCTTTGTTTTCTCTGGGATGGCATTGATTGGACTGATTGTAAGCAAAGCAGCAGACTACTTAGTTGAGAAGCAGGAACTTTTGCTAGTTAAAGCTATGCGCATGCACCAAAAAGTTGGTTCAACTGAAATTTTCAGGGAGATTGAAACCAATAAAACAAGATACAAACTTTTTCTAGTCTTTTTCCTCCTTCTGATTCTCATCATTGCGGGGATAAGTTTTTTGGTCACTGTTGAGAAATTGGATGTTATTGATGCATTCTACTGTGTTTGTTCTACAATTACAACCCTTGGTTATGGGGACAAAAGTTTCTCAACACAATCAGGAAGAATATTTGCCGTGTTTTGGATAGTGACTGGTACTATTACTTTAGCTCAGCTTTTACTCTACATTGCTGAGCTAAACACTGAAATCAGACAAAAGGAACTTGTCAAATGGGTACTTACAAGGAAAGTGACCAATTTAGATTTGGAGGCTGCAGATCTTGATGAGGATGGGACTGTTGGGTTAGTTGTGCATTCTTTCAAATTCATATTATTATACAATCAATGATAAAAAAACGGCCTCATTCATTTTTATCTGTTTTGTATTGTTTCTCATAGGACTGCTGAATTTGTAATTTATAAGCTCAAAGAGATGGGGAAGATTAGTCAAGAAGATATATCACTTGTGATGCAGGAGTTTGAACAGCTTGATGTTGATGATTCTGGTACACTGACAATTTCCGATATAACACTTGCTCAGTCATCTTAGACTAACACATTACGTGCACCAAGTTTTGATCACGAAATGCGCACCACAGTTTTGATAAGTTTGAAATTTCATGAACGGATTGGCATTTTTTTAAATCTGTCTCTCTTACTATCAAATTGTTGACCGCTTGATCAACGAGCTGCTTATACATATAATGTAAGTATATGTAACCTTAATTTATTATTATTATTATTATTCAATATAAGCTTGAAACTTTACACTTCAAGGTATTTATTTATTAGTGTATGACCTTAAATAAATTGATTGGAAATTGAAAACTTATTATAATTGTTAAGTATCAGACATTTAAAGGATTTCTGATGATTCTAATTGATAATGAAATTTTGATGTATTTGTCGTTATTTCTATTATCTTTTTATTTTGTTTTTTGTAAAAAAAATATATTTATATGTAATTCTTCTTCTTTATACATATATATTTTAGATAATAATAGCATATATAAATATAAGTATTAAAATATATAGAAATTTGAGTAAAATCAATTATACAATAATCTAATTAGTAGAAAAGTTATATACAAACAGTGAAATATGTAGATTAATGAACAAACAGTGAAAGAGAGGTTCTTTTCAGAATTTGCAGGGTAGAATTTTTTATTTTTTTTTTCATTTGAAATCATTATAAAGAAAAAATAATCATGGTAAAGTTGTATGGCTGTTATCTACTACTTCTGGATTTTGATGAACCCTTTATCAATGATCTGTCTAGAAAACTTGGTGGCGTGTTTGTTGCTTGTGAATTGCAATCAATTTAAAAAATAAAGTATTGGTTCACCAATAAATAACCTCACCATTAAATAACGACGAGTTTTTCAAACTTAAATAATAAAATAATGGCATTTGTGTGAAGCATTGTCTCCTATGTTATGCATAATGCATCCCTTTTACAGCTATCTGCAAAGACAAATAACCACAAACAGGTTGAAGGCGGAGGAGAAGAAAACGTAATTCGAATAAAATTAATCATTTTTCAATTCAAATCTACCATGTCAAATGCTGGCAGGTAGCAGACATTAACAAATTGTCAGAAACTTGTTTGTTTGCGTGAAATTACTTTCAATGTTCTTTCTGCGTACTCATAAATAGAGAAATGGTATTTGAAAATAAAAATACATAATTATTCCTCTTTTCTCACTTAATTTTTCTTTCCCAAACAAAAAAGTAATGATGTGAAATGAAAGATATATTTTCTTCAACTAAAGTTAAACATATGTTATATATGAGTTTTAATATACGGTGATTCTCTGTAATCTTAAAAACTTTATATAACATTTTAAAGTCGATAATTAAATGTTAAAAAATAGTTCTTAGTTGTTGAAAACTGTAAAAATAAAAATATTATTCATCAATTTTAAAAAGGTTGATTTGTAGTGAAGTATATCGTATATTAATCTCTCAAGAAGAGATTTTTCATTTATCTTAGATTTTGTTTTTCATAAAATATTAATTTTGGGGGCATCTCTGTAAGTCCCTTGGCTACAGTAATTGACAAATGAATGCTCAGCAGCTAGTATGGATGGCACATGATCACTGCACGACTACCACACTTCCACAACTTTCGAGACCGATTACTAGATTCCATCATTAAAAACAACATTACTATTGACGTGCTTATTACTTAGATTAACGTTTCTAAAATTTTGAAAGTTCAAAAGAAATGAATCGTTGTCTGGTTTTTGTTTGGTTAAATTTTAAAAGTCCACAATTGTGTTTGTCAACAAATGCTCAAGTTATTGTGATGACTTTTTGGCGTCTATCCTAAAACATAAGATCAAACATGTGTTGTTGTAGGTAAATTGTTTTGTCAAAAAACAAAAGGAGTAACGAATAGAGAAACAAAATCCTGTACACTGATTGGTGACGCAATACGCAGGGGACCCCCCCTTGCAAATAACAAAGATTGCGGTTGGTGACCTAAGCATTGTTTCATCACTTCTCACCCTTCCCCATCAGCCACACTCACACACTGCCATCGTCACTGTCAACAAAGTTTAAAAGACACTGCCACAGCCGCAACTCCATTTTTCACTTCACATTTTAACAATTATCTCAATTTTTTCTGCAAAATTATAACGAATACTAATTAAATCAACCCACCTTTTTGTTCACTGGTGCATGAAAGACTAACTCTTCTCTTTAATTAACCAACATTTGAATACTTTCAGAAAAGAAAATAAGACAGCCATTTTGATGGGTTAAAGATTCACATGACTTAACATTGCAAGAAGTAAATTAGAGTTACGATTACATTACATTGTAGGATAGGGTACATAATGAAGGAGGAGTGTCTCTACTTAACCTTGATTAGTCGGCCTTGTGAAGAGTGTCGAGCGGCGGGTCATGGTGGCCGGAAACGTAATCGAGGAGGCCTTGGCCGGCGCTGTGGAAGGAAGTGGCGTCGGAGGAGGGTAAAGGGGAAGTCTTAGCGAAGAAGGAGACAAGGGCAAGGAATAGGGCTGTGGAGAGGAAGAGTGGCCAGAAATAGGCCAAGAGAGTAATGAATCTTGGAGCCATGAGTGTGAGAGAGAAGAGGGTGAGACAGAAGAGAAGTGCCCCAAGAAAATGGTATCTGAACTTGAGCACCTTCTCTGGGATCTCCATGGGAGAGATGTGCAAGGAGTGAGGGTTGGGTTTTGTGTGCAGAGAGAGATTCTCTCAGACAAAAGTGTTTGGTTTCGTGGATTTTGAGTCTTGGACTTTCAAACGAAGAAGAGAAGGGAACACACTCATTTTTCACTCCAATAATCATGACATCACCCTTTTTACCCCTCAATCATGTGTCAACCCTACTTTCTACGAAGGAAATCTTAGTAAGTTGATACTTGAATACTCAAAATTGTAACACATTCATTATACTGAAAATATTGAAATTTACAAAAGATTTCAACGTAACTCTAAAAGTGATGGTTATTATGATGTTATGAATTGAAAGTGACTCTTTCTAAGCAATACATCTGTCTGCAATTGGTGTGTCCCTCACACCATGCACTGCACTCCAATATAGCAGAATTATTTTCCAGCCATTGAATTTCTGATGAAAAGTTTGACTAAAAGAATCACTCGTGACTTTGCCTTTGGCGTATAATTTTTCTTTTAAATGTTTTATGTAACTTAATTTTATTTTATATAAAAAAAAACTTTTGTACTTTTTATATGATTAAACAAAATTATCTAAACGTGAAGTGACTGTGACACTTTGGAATGAAGAAGATTTGGGTGTTATTGTAAATGGGCCACAAGAAACAAGAGGCCCAACACATGAGAGAAAGCCCAATAGCTTTGTTATGGTGTTAGGAATGGCGGTAATGGAGTAGCGAGGGTGGAAAGAAAAAATGGCGCCTGTGGCAGCGAGAAGCGCAGCCGCCGTTGGCTTTGGCGCTGCAATCTTGATTTCAGTCGCTCTCACCACATATTTCATCTGTGACCGCCGCTCCATGAAGAAGAAAAAGAAGAAATCAAGGAAGAATGGACTCGTGGAGGCCATCGGTAACACCCCGCTAATTCGGATCAACAGCCTCTCCGCCGCCACTGGTTGTCAAGTAACTATCTATCTGTGCTCCCCTCCCTCACTTCCATTCTCTGATCTCTTCTCTTTGCGAATTCGTTTCGCTCACCGCCAATTTCTCCTCAGATTCTCGGCAAGTGCGAGTTCTTGAATCCTGGAGGGAGCGTCAAAGACCGTGTTGCTCTTCAAATCATTCAAGAGGTTGACTCAAAATTAGTTTCCATTCACATGTGCTGTTATTCGCTGCTTTTCATAGAATTATCAAAGCTTCGGTTCATATAATTCATTTCTCACTATTTATTATTTATTTATTCTTTTGCTTGTTTCAGTTTTAACACAATGGCTTTCTTAGGGTTGAATGTCAATTTGTCGTACTATTCATTCATTCTCAATCCGATTACTTATACACACATGATATGTTCTATATGATTTTTAGTTGAACTATCTCTTCTTCTGCTGATGTCATAATAACAGTATCGGCCTAATGATTTTCTCTATGATTGATTGCGCAGGCTCTGGAATCTGGCCAGCTACGTCCAGGTGGAATAGTCACTGAAGGGAGTGCTGGAAGCACTGCCATTAGCATTGCAACTGTTGCTCCTGCCTATGGGTGCAAAACCCACGTGGTTATACCCGATGATGCTGCCATTGAGAAGGTATTTTATAATTAATCCGGCAAGTCTGCTATTCAATCTAGTCCTAAACTTCTAAGATTTGACAATTTTCTCCAGTTTAGAAGAACTTATGTACAGCTTATGTGGAGAGCTTATGAAATCTTATTTCGATAAGCTGTGCAGGATTGCTAGTGAAAATAACTTATATAAAACTGTTTAACAATATTTTCTTTTTAACTACATAAACAACTTATACTTAAGTACTTGTTGAACATCACCTTAGATTGTCCGGGTCTACCACGCATCTTTAGTCTTAGTCAAAATCTACATGACACATCAAGTTTTTCAATATACCAAAAAAAAAATTGATGACACTTGAATACATGTTATGTGATGATTAGCCGAAACCGTGATAGTCCCATACCATTTAATAATTTCTCCTAAGATTTCGTATATGAATGGTGATTGTCTTGCATGAATCAATCTTCAGTCTCAAATACTTGAAGCACTAGGGGCAACTGTTGAAAGAGTGCGACCAGTGTCCATTACTCACAAAGACCATTTTGTTAATATCGCAAGAAGACGGGCATCTGAAGCAAATGAGTTTGCGCTTAAGCATAGAAATTCACAACTAAATGGAAAGGAGGACACTGAGAAAATAAATGGTTATGAATCTGATGGATACAATTATAGCTCTCTGTTTCCTTGTGACTGTCAAGGTGGGTTTTTTGCTGATCAGTTTGAGAACTTAGCGAACTTCAGGGCCCATTACAAGGGTACGGGGCCTGAAATTTGGGAACAGACAAATGGAAAGTTAGATGCATTTGTTGCAGCAGCAGGCACTGGTGGCACTGTGGCTGGTGTTTCTACGTTTCTTCAGGTTCACCACAGCCCACCTTCTTCCACTTCTTGGATGCCATTTTGAGTGTGAAGTTGTCTGAATTATTTCTTGTCCTATGTTCAACAGGAAAAGAATCCAAACATCAAATGCTTCCTCGTAGATCCTCCTGGCTCTGGTTTGTTTAATAAGGTAACACGGGGAGTGATGTACACCAGAGAGGAGGCCGAAGGAAGAAGACTTAGGAATCCATTTGACACCATAACAGAAGGAATTGGAATTAACAGGATAACGAAGAATTTTGCGATGGCAAAACTTGATGGCGCCTTTAGAGGCACCGATAGGGAGGCTGTTGAAATGGCTAGGTTGTTACTTGCTCTGTTTTTGCCATCCCACCGTTCTTATTTTTGACAGTTGTTTTCTTTTCTTTTGTGTGTGTCAGCCAGGAGAAATTATTACGTGAAATGAAGCCTGAACTTTTTATCCCTATCGTTTTTGATATATCAGGTTTCTTTTGAAGAATGATGGACTCTTCCTTGGGAGTTCTTCTGCAATGAACTGTGTCGGAGCGGTAAGAGTAGCACAGGCAATTGGCCCTGGTCACACCATTGTAACAATACTCTGCGATAGTGGAATGAGACATTTGAGTAAGTTCTATAATGCTGACTACTTGTCTGAGCTGGGTTTGACTCCGAAAGCAGATGGATTGGAGTTCTTAGACATCCAATGAATAGGTTGGTTCAGAGTTTTGATTTTGATGCCGCTGGCTCGCTGCTATATAACGTATGTGCTTAATGCCTGCCTCGGATGACAGCTAGAAGTTAGAAGTGAGGGTATTACACATTGTTTTGACTTATTTGGTAGACTCATAATTAATAGTCTCCAAATTTTTGTAAACTATATATATTGAATTCAAACCATTTTTGTAGTAATTAATAGTCTTCCTTTTAAAATAATAGAACTGGAAAGAGTGTTTGGGGGAAAAAAAGGTTTCGATGTATATGGCCACTATATTACCAAAAAGAAATCCTCGATTGGAGAGATAAAATCTTATTTATGATTAAATTTAAAGATAATTTAAGCATCCAAAATTAACCTAATACTTGTAAATATAAATTGTCTAATGAAAATAAAAACTATTAGAAACACTTGAACCTTTTCATTTCTAATTTTTCTAAGCATAGTAGTTGTTTATAAGATAAAATATATTTTTTATAATTACATATTTTTTTATATAACATCTTGAACTCAGATTTCAAAGCTAACCATCATAAGTCTTTATGAACCCATATGCTTCAAATTCACTCCTAGTACCTGACAACTTTCTTCTTGCATCATCAAACATTAACTCGGTAATACAAAACCATTTTCTAACCCCAACCGGTACTTTTTTGTTAAACCTACGATAATATGGATATAAGCAATAGAATCTATAACCTCCAAATAGGCTATAACCTGCAATATCATCCATTTACCAAAGGGAAAACTCACCTTACTATTACTTAAAATATATATATATATAGCATACAAAGTTCCAACAAAAAACTTGTTATAATTTCCATTTTATTTCCTTCATTGAAACCCAATCTGCATCCTATTTATCTATCTTTTCATTTCCTTAACTATTAATATTTTTGTTTAGCCTACATTGATAGGCAAATACGGAGATCAAGGTGTCAAGTCTATTCCAACAAATAGCTACCTTTTACTGTGAGCCACAACCCTTTTATTATCCATCGACTAAGAGTGTGATTGGATTACAATTCCATCCAACTCAACCTTCTAGGAGAGTGTTTGGATTCCAATTCCATCCCATTCAACCTTCTAAGAGGGTTTTGGATTACGATTCCATCCAACTCCACCTTCGTACAATCAATTTGAAAGTACAATACTTCACTTCAACACCACCCTACCACATTTCCAAACACACCCTAAGTGATAAATTTATTATCATGGTACATAACCTCCCAAACATGGGTGTCTCGAGAAACATCAATCTATATATAACAAAAGGTGCTAAAGTGGACAATCTCCAAGAAAAAAATAATTCAACGACACCAAAATCTCCAATGCATTACCTCCTCTCAAACTGAGATTCTTGGCAATGTGGATCTAACCAGTCTTTGGGGGATCCCTTTGCCAAGTTGACACCTACTTTGCCCCCACCCACAAGCTCCCTCAGATTATCCACCTTATTCTCCCTACCCATCCCACTATTTCTCTTGTCAGCTTCTTTCAGTTTTTGCTTGAATCTCTGCTTCCTGTTAGAAGGATTTAGCTCTTGCTGTTTTGCTAGAGATGGAGGCGCTCCGTGCGGGCCCAGATAGATGTTCTCTTCCTTCTTACTCTACAGTAAACAAAAGTAGTTAGCATGCAGATTGCCTTGGCAACCAGTATCATCAATGTCTAAAACCTGGAAATTATAGTCTCCAGTAAGAAATTTTCTCTAGCTAACCTTTGCTGCAGAATTGGAAGATTCTACCATAGGAACATGAGGTTTAGTTTTATCAAAGTCTCCAATTCCCAAACTTGGAATCACAAATCCATCAGTGTCTACAACAAAAAAGAGTCCACCCATTCAAAATCAAAATGCATTTCTGTGCCCGGAGAAACCAACCCAACTTTGCAAAACAGTTAAGTGTAAGATGTATGCATCTCAGGAAAGAAACAACTATTCCCTAGTCAGTGAATAAAAATCACCAAAGACGGACACAGACTAGTTCATTTTCATTGCAAACATAAAGCATACAAATCAGAACTGAAACTTTTTCATGTGTAACACATAACATGTAATAATAGAAGTCAATGCTAAAATTTTCTGTATGCTAGGACAGGACATGATTCCAACCCTAATTAAATGCCGCTAATTTACATAAAAAAAAAAATTTGAATCAGCCGGGTATCAAATTAAGCTGGACCTATACGCATTCCCCACGGATATGATCCTAACATAAGCACCATGCATCACAGGCAAAAAAAAAAAAAAAATCAGTTATCATGATAAACCCACAAATAAGAACAGCGAAATTAATTAATTAATTAGTAACAACCAATCCAAATTTCAAAATTTTGCATTGTGATTCAAATAAAATCCACAGATGCAATATATCCACACGATTCAATTTGAGACTAACACATGAACCAATCTTCCCTGTCATCTTCAACAATTTAAAAAACCCCATTTAGAAATCCATCAGAAAATCCATGCAAACCCCCAGTTGTGTAAATCCGTTATCTGCTGTTCTGTAAACACACAACCAAAAACAACCTCAAAAGATCCCTGTTTTGTAAATCCGTTATCTGCTCCCGGTTGTGTCATCAAGAGCCGAAAAAAAAAATTGAAGGAAAAAATGGCATACCCCACTCGTCTTCTTGTTGTTGAATCTGAGGAGAGGGGTCCATCGTAAACTGACGACCATGGATTTGAACACGCACTGGGCGATAAAGCCCGGTTGAAAAGAGAACAACCAAAACCCCACCAACAAAAGTCTCGAGAAAGAATATCTCGGCAAAAATCAAGCAATCCAGAGATTAAAGACACTTGCTTTGTAGAGGAAATTGATATTGCAATTAAACCCCAACTCTAGGGTTTCACTGTGCGCGTTTGAACGCGTGCCTGACTTGCTCCTTCGATTGTGGGGCAAAATTGTTTAAAGATTAGATTGCATTTCTCCACTGCTAAAGGGTAGTTTTGTCATTGACATTCTCGAATGGGATTCTTCAGAGCATATGCTTGATTTTTGTTCCTTTTTTTTGGTAGAATGATTGACAATTTATTAAGAAACAAATTTGCTGTTGTTTTTATTAGGTAATTTTATAAAAACTGTCCTTGTTGTATTTTAATTTCAAAAAAGTTAAAAATTATTAGTAGTATTCAGATGAAAAAACAATGATTTTGTTAGAACATTAATACGATATTCAAATTTCATTAAATTTCTATATAGCAAAATTACAAAGTATATCATCAAATTTATAAATTAAAAATATTGTGAAGTAATTATATTAAATTTGATATTTAATTTTAGTAACATTTTTTATTTCTTTTATGCATAAAAGATTGAATTGTACCTCCTATATTTAATATGTCATTTTTATTTTGACTAAGTATTATTTTACTTAAAGAATACACTTTCATTCATAAGATACGTTTGATAAAACTTTTTAGCTAGCTTTTGACTTTTTTAACTTTCTAAAAATTTTATATTTATTTATTATTTTTAAAATATTTATTAAATTTTCTTATCACTTTTTTTAAAATAAATGTAAGTTATTTTTATGTTCACCTTTTACTATTGTACTATTTATTTTAATTATATATTGTTTATAATATTTATTTATTAATTCAATATTATATTTCAAGAACTTTATATTGGTAGATTTATTTTATTTATTTTTACTATTTTAAATAATTTTATGTTGGATAAATTGTTTTTTCATACAACATGTGATTTTCATTTTTAAATATAATAACAAAAAAAAAAATCGGTCTTAATATAACAATAGCCATTTTCTTACATGAAAAATATTAGTGACATATAAATTTAGTACATACTTTTTATATAATGGTATTGTTAGTTTTCGTTTTTACTATAATTGAAAAAAAAATCTGGATAAAATAAGTATAATTTTATTTGGACTTTCACTTACCAGATAAAAATAAGTGTAGAAACAATACATCTACATATTAAAAAAAGGACTTTAAAAAATTTTAAAAACAAAAATAAACGCCTCAAAAGCTATATTTTTAACTAAAATAAAAATACATTTTATGAAAAAAGAAGGTTTGGTTTTCAATAGGATCTAATTGTAAATGAAATTAGTCTTGATTTTTAATTTGATATTATTAAAGGAATAATGAAAATAAAGAAGAAGAATGATTAAGGAGTAGGCATAATAATCCACAAGATTTCCCACCAAGAAACACAATCAAATCAAAGTCACGAGAAAGCATTTGATCATTGCGATGTCTTTTTGTGAATGGCCTCTGTTTCCATGACTTTCTTGTCCCTTCTTCTCCTTCATTTTTTTAACATCATTTCTGCGTTGGCACGAGCAAATGATTATCAGAGGGATTAAGGCTAAGTATTGTATACAGCAAGGGAGAAAAGGGGGAAAAAGCTGACAGGGACATTTCACGTTTCTGATATCTAATTCAAAATTCTTCTCTAGAAATCAATAAAAAGATAATATACATTGAAGCCTTTATTGTTCATTTTTTTTTTAAATAATTCACTCTTAACTGCATGTGTAACATCTACATAACACGGTCTTGCTCTAAAATAATTAGTAAAATCTATTAATTAATTTTCTTTCTTCATAAAAAATACCCATCCATATGTATAAAAAGAGTCTTGTTCAGTAAATACAAGATTTAATTTTAGATCTATCTAATTAATAAGAACAATTGAAAACTGTAACAATTGGTCCAAGAAGCTTATATGCTACCTAGTGTAGAACAGGAAAGGAATGGAGAGTACCTAACAATGTTATGGATCTCTTCTATGATAGGGCCTCAGATCCACTCCATTAAAGTCTGCATGAGCATGACATGCAGAAGCAGAAAAGGACTTCTGCATGGCTGATGAGCCTAGGAATAATAGAAAGTAAGTGATTCATTATTACAAAATATTGCTTATTGCTTATTGCTTATTTAAGGTGTCTTAGGTTATAAAGAATTGTAGTTGTTTGAAGGGGCAAGTTTTGCCAACTTGCCATCACACTCAAATTTCATTGGGGCAAAAAGTTATACTAATATGATTCAAACGTTTGTTTGATGTATGTGATGGAAATCTAGCGTGGAAAAATGTCATCTAGGGAAGTGTCTCAAGAAAGGAACTTCCATAAAGAAGGGTTGTTTTGAGATATTTGTAGCTTCCTGATTTGGTGTGTTTAGTGTCTGTAAACGGGTTTTAATTGGTTGAGTAAAATAGAGGGAGAAGCAAGGCCCTAGTAGAGCACATTATCCATTGATTTGATAAAGCTGTTTTCTTGGGTCAGGTATCTAGCCATGTGTGGGGGAGTGGTCAGATATGTCTGGCACATGCATTCGACAACTCCAAGGCTTTGAAGTAATTGTAAATATTCTTGGAAAACAAACAGATTTGCTATCTCCAAGAGAATCAGATGCAGATAATAAATAATATAAGGTTTCGTGTCAGAGAAAAATAGAAGAAACAATTTGGTTTGAAGCTGTATTTCTTGCTAGCATTGTTGCTCAGCAGTGTAAAGCAACTTGATCTTTCAAGAATATCACCAAATGTCACCCTTATCAGGTTTGATGAAAAAAAAAAAAACATGTTTTCTTTGGGGTTCTAGACATGATCTTACGATTCTTCTTGTTATTGAAAAGCTAAAATGTTTCCCACCTTTGCTTCTTGTTTCGCATTTCAGCGACTGTGTAAAAAACAGGCAGCATGGCAAAAGGTGAAAGATATTAACTAATAGCTTTGAAGGCTCTTGTGGCACCCCAGATTCCTTTGTAGCACGTTGAAACTTTTCTCAGACTTTGCTCTCACAATCTGTATTTTAAGACAAGAAAGTACAGATTGAACACATTTTCAGCCACTTTCTTGTAGTCTTTTTCCGCTGATCTTCTCCTTATCAACAGTACTTCTTACAGCCTTTGGCATTTTGGTTCGGCTTTGACACAAGAAGTACATTTCTAGTGAATGATCATGGTGAAAGTAACAAAGCAACAAATCTGTCACAAGTTGTGTTATAGTTTTGGCAGTTTATTACCAATCCTTCTGGTTCTTGTCCTTCTATTTTCAATTTTCCTTTTCTTTTCAGTTTCTGAATCCCATCATGCCCTTCTTACATTACTGATTGCTCTTCTATCTACCTTGTTTATTGTCGCACTGGCAAAGCAAAAAGGGTCCTTACATGAGAATCTTGTCCAAGATAGCCAGAAGAAATTGGAGTTACAGCCTTCATTAGGAGACGTCACTACCCAACAAAGTGAAACTGCTCAGAGCCCAGTTGAGGCACAGTCAGAGTCCTCATTTCCATTATATTGTGAAAGCAGCAACTTCATGGATAAAAGTTTTGAACTCAGTGCTGAGAAGTATGTACAAGAAGCTGATCCACAGTCCGATACTTCACTTCCATCAGATAGTGAAAGCAACACTAGCTCAACCATGGGCGGAGAAAGTATTGAGATTCATCACAGTATAAATGAAAATCTTGATATTTCTGATAACTTGGCGTTTGATAGTGATGGTTATGATGATGAAGAGGACGGCTTGATTGAAATCCAACTTCCAAACAACCACTTTTCCGAGTTCTGGGCAGAATGCATTTTCAAGCAGCAAGGTTTCACAGAGCTCATGGCAGAAATTAATGAGATGAATGAGGATGCAAACCTAATTGAGATTGATATCTCCAAGGGATCCACAAAACATCAAGATTTGAGATTGGAGAAGGAGTTGGTTTGTTGAGGAGATCATTGTTTGTGTTTTTTTAATACTAATTTTCATCCTGAGCTGCTATTTTTGGTGATGCTTTTGTCATCAACCATTTTCCTTCTTGATGTTTAGCAAATTTTTGTTGTACTAACTTGGCCTATGAATCTAAGTTTGCGTTTTTTCAACGAAGTGTTAGTTCTACTCTTAATTTTAGCAAAATTATATCATAGCTCGTGTCCTTTGAGATATTTTCATAAAAGAAAAAAAAATGATATTTAAAGGGTTCAAATAGCATTGTGGAGGAGCAAATCGCAATGTATTAGCCCGTCATTGACTCGGGCATATTCACGACCCAGAAAGGACTCTTTGCTTAAAAATATAAATGTGAAAAAAATATGCGTAAGAAAACAAAAGAGATGAACAAATAAAAGGAAACAAAACAAGATAAAGGACATGAAATAAATAATAGAAATAAAATGAATGATGTATGGGTGGTGAGTGACCCACTTAGAACAATGAATGTTTATTAGTGGGGAGACCTACATGCAAAGTCACCATTGACTATAACTAAACTAGTGCCACCCATTCCCTTACTTGAAAGCCCTATGTCTCTACATCATCAAAGCCCTATTATCTCTTATAATTCATTCAGTTTGTGGTACGAGGTTGTCATTTAAGGGTATCCAAAAACAACTAAGTAGATAAACGTAAACAATGTGATGCATAGTATTATATTTATTAAAAAAGACTTAATCAATATTTTGGTCCCATAAACATAATTTGAAAAGCAAGGCAACATGACAATGATTTGGGAATGAGTGTCACATATTATACTTTGTACTCGCAAAGTAAGCTTCCTATTCTGAGTCATATACCTTGTTTTACGGAAATACATATATCTAGGTTTAAATTTTGCTTCAAAAACAAGAAAACTATTCATTCATTCCACATCTTTGCCCTACAAATAATTATTCACCATCTAATCATTCATCACACCCATTATTTCATCAAACCTTTTTCATAACAAGTTATAATTAATTACAAAATATTTTTCAATCTTAAAATTGTTGAAAAATAGTCGTCTGCTTGTCAAAATTATAAAATAAAATAATTTTTGTATCGTTTTCGAAACTAAATTTATCTTTATAATTCAAGAGATTAATTTGATGTGGAAACTTTAAAACAAATTTGAGGCCAACAAAAATAGACTTGATTAAGATGCATATGAAGCGATTGAAAGGTTCCTCCCCATGCTCCTTCGGAATTTTTATTATTTTGGAGTAACAAATTGTTTTCACTTATTTACTCATCATTTATCTTAATTTGGAAAAGTTTGAGTCGCACTGTCATATAAAATACTTTTTGTTTTCTTTTGTTATTTGCTCTTTTATCTTAATTTGGACTTTTTAATGAACTTGAATCAATTATATTACTATGGATTTACCTCACAACACAACCATCGAATGTATATAAATAACAAACAAAATGCTGTTAACTAAATAGTTGGTCATGTATAAAAATACTATATTCATCCATCACAATATCAATGAATTTTTGTATTTGTTTTCAATATTATATTATGAAATAATGAGTAATTTTTATGTTTATTTTTTTAATAGATTAGATTTGAGAGTGTAGATTAGAAGGAAGAAAATGATGAATAATCTTTTTAATTGCTGAGAATATGAGATGAAAAAGATATTTTATGTAGCATATATTTACACAAATATCTTTTAGAGGAAAAAGAATCGATTTTTCAACACTGAAATAATTTTATTATTTTAAATTCCTTTTATTATTTATATCAATCAAATCTATTACAAATTTTATAATTTTTTTTTTACATTTCTTATCATAACCTCGTTTTTTTTTCTCTCCACTTTCTCAAAATCATGCCTAATCCAAAAAAAAAAAAAAATTAGAGTAAAATCAGACACCACCAAAGTCAACAAGCATATCAATGTAACAGAGCAAATAATAAACACAAGTTGTGTGTGTCATGTACGTAATGTGTAACAACACATAACGAATATATCGAAGAAAATATAAGCTGAAGAATAAATTAATTAATGCCAATTTTCATATAGTGAAAAAAAAATAGTAGAATTAATTTTAATTCATATTAAAAAATGAAAAGACATACCAATGTATTAATAATAATATAAGAAAGAAAAAGAGGAGAGGGCGATTAGATGGTCCAAGTCAGAGTGGAGCATGTAGCGGATATTAAAGCAAAGGTCAAGATCGTTGCTCCCTGATGAAATCCAAAGGTTGAAAAGGCGTCCGTACAAACACACACTTATCGACTAACAACGGTGTAGAAGGGTCCACGTGTCCAGCAGATAAAGCTTTAATAAGCCCTTGATCCAACGGACCTTGCGCATTCAATTCCATTCTTCCATTTTCTGTTCACTTTCTCACTCCGAAGTCAACTGAAGGAGAGTAGAGTGTTGAATTTAGTGCATAGCTGAGTCGATGGCTGAGTCGGACAACGACTCGGGGGGAGCGCACAACGCGGGGAACAGCGGCTTCAGCGAGTTGTCGCCCCGGGAACAGGACCGCTTCCTTCCAATCGCCAACGTAAGCAGGATCATGAAAAAGGCTCTGCCGGCGAACGCCAAGATCTCTAAAGACGCCAAAGAAACCGTACAAGAATGCGTTTCGGAGTTCATAAGTTTCATAACCGGCGAGGCCTCCGACAAGTGCCAGCGCGAGAAGCGCAAGACAATCAACGGCGACGACCTCCTGTGGGCCATGACCACCTTGGGATTCGAGGACTACGTCGACCCTCTCAAGATTTACCTCCAGCGATTCCGCGAGATCGAGGGAGAGAAGACCGTGGCCGCGCGCGACAAAGACGCCGCCGCCGCCTCTGCCTCCGCCTCCGCCACCGCCGCCGCTCTCAGCGGCTACGACTACTCCTCATCCACCGCCGCCGCCATGATGCATCATCAGGGACACGTGTACGCCTCCCCCCCTTTCCATCAAGTGAGTGCCGCTCCTATTATGGGTAAGCCTGGGCCTGGGTCTGGGCCCGGACCCACTTATCCTGCCCCTGGTAGACCCAGATAGATACAGTCATACATCGACGTGGTCCTCTATTTGCCACTCCTTTTTTTTTTTTTTTTTCATATTTTTCAAATCATAAAAAACGCATGCATGACTCACTCCTGGTTGCGATAATGATAATAACAAACGCTAATGCTTGATTACTTAATTGGAGGCTGCGTTAATTTATTTAATGAAACTGTGAAGTGAAGAAATAAAAAAATGGATTTTTCATTCTCGTTGGCGATTGGGGCAGACACTTTGTAAAGTTAAGACAGGGACGAGTGGGTGGGTTAGTGTTGTTACTGTTTCTATCATACTTATAGTGCATCTTTTCATTTTCATTTTTTTTTTTACCAAATATGTATTATTACTTTTCTTATCATTATTTATTTACCTTCAATGCAAATTCTCAAATATTTATTTTTTATATATACTAATGCATTTTAGAAGCATATTTTATTACTTTTTTCATATGCAGGAAAGAATGTAGACGTTGTTCATTGCATCATGAGTTAATTGATTCATCAAATTCGTCATGAATCATGATCTCTCGTTGAAGCCATCATAAACAAAACACACACACCAATAATTTAATGCATAATAATTTCAATCTTGAAGGACAAATTCAAACCACAATTATTGGAAAATATCTGTAGAAGCTACCACTTCTTCATTCTCTACCCTAGCTGCTATGAGTCTATGACCAAGATGGCCGATGGAGTCGCGCTTTTACTTTATCTTGAATTATTTCTCTTTGGGCTTTTTGTCACGCTTTCTCATGCAAGCTCTTGTGGGTTTGCTACAAGCGCAGAAAGCCCAAAAGTATTCCATCTATCTGGTAATGGAATCATGAGACACCTGGTAATATGTTTTTATTATCATTTTCAGTTGATAAAAAAAAAAAAAAAGAGTTTGGATTATCTTGGACTACAAATTTTGAGTCTTACACTTTTAATGTATTAATTATTTTACATACTGGTATGTTGGAGGTCATTCATATCCTAAATAGTTAATAATTAATCTTCTAATTTTTAGAAATATATGAATTTCATCATTATATTGTAATAAAAAAATAAATTATTATTAATTGTTTTACTTGGCATGTTATAAATTTGAGTATGAAAAAATAAAAGATTAAAAGTGGGTCACTGCAAAAATAAATAAATTGAAAGACTTAATTTATGAATTTAAAATATAAGTACTAAAGTCATTAAAAAAAAACTGTACCTTAAATAAATAAAATATTAATTTTATTTTATAAACTAGTTTTTTAATAATTTAAATATCTTTTGAACTAAAGAGATGTAATTCACTAGAATTCAAACATTTAAAGATAAAAATTATTTGAGTTAAGATATGTAACTATGATTATAAAGTTTTATATATTTGTATTATCATAAGATATAGAAGAAGATTAATAAAATATTTGATCTATAATTTTTTTATTTATTCTATCAATTATAAAATATTTTTAAAAAATTATACTGAAGAACGATCCCATCTTAACTGCTTTAAATTACAATTATAAAAATAAAATAAAATCAAACTAACCTGAATTAAGATTAAAATAGTTGTGTGGATGGTTGCTTTATTCAACATGGATTCAATCTAAAATGCAAACACCCATAGTTAACAGTATAGTTTTTTTTTTCATTTTATTTAATTTTTTAATGTTGCCATTTTTTTTTTAAATTTCTCATTTGGTTTAAAAGCTAAAATATTTAAAACACCATGAAAATTTAGTGATATTTAAATGAATTGAAAAGAAAAAATCGCAATTAATAGAAATAAATGAAAATATAATAACTTACGGTGTTTTACGAGAAAAAAATCTTCTTACAAGAATATAAAGATATTTAATAAATGCTGGTTTATTTATTGCCCAAAATTTCTATTATTTATGTCAAATGAGAAAAAGATATTTTTAAATTTTTTTCACCAACGCAAGGAAAAGATATTTTCTAATTGTTGCTGAAAGAAGAAAGATTGCAATGTTATCTATCCCACTCCCTCTTCTTCTCCCTCCGCATCTTCTCTCCCCCATTTGGCATAACAGTATCCAAAATCGAATCTTTGTTTGAAATATGGCTTGCTCCACCTTCCTCTGTCCCGTAGCGTTCAGCTTCTCACAAAAACCACTTCAATCCACCTTTCTGCATTCTTCCGTCAACCCCTCTCTACTCACGCTCAACGTTCTTCCAAAGAAATTAAGAAAACCCCACCAACTGAGAAGCCTTATAGTGGCCAAATCCAATGGCAGCGACTCTGCTGATGTTCCTGACCGCTTGATTTCAGCGCTCTGTTACTTTTACCCTTTCTTTGATGGCATACAGTATGGAAAATATGTAATCACTCAGTTCTACCCTGTTCAGGCCATTATTCAACCACTGGTCCCTGCAATAAGAGTTTTCAAGAGCTTTCCCTTTAATGGGTTCCTAGTGTTTCTCACCCTTTATTTTGTTGTAGTGAGAAACCCCAATTTCAGTAGGTATGTCAGGTTCAACACTATGCAAGCCATTGTCCTTGATGTGCTCTTGATTTTCCCTGACCTCTTGGAAAGAGGGTTTAATCCCAGGGATGGGTTGGGGCTGGATTTGATGATGAGTTTGGATAGCACTGTGTTCTTGTTCCTCTTGGTGTGCTTGGTTTATGGTTCTTCTTCTTGCTTGCTGGGTCAACTCCCCAGATTGCCCATTGTTGCTGAGGCAGCTGACAGGCAGGTTCTTTGAATCACCAACCCATTATTTGATCATTTAATTGTATAGCCAAGCAACTTAAGCTAAGTGGGAGAAGTTTGCATTTTCACTTCCTTAATAGCTTTCCTAGAAAGCTTCTCCAAAACGGATTTTTGTTGTTTCTTACATTTCTGAATTTCAGTATGTCTTTCCAATTCGGGATTGATTTATTGTAAGATGATGAGAAGCTTCCCTTTCTCCGTTGTTAATTAAGTTCAATGTTCTACCTCTCTGGGTTTACTGAATGTTTACGGCTTTTGAGTTATCACGTTTCACACACGGACACATTATTTTCTTAGTTCTTACATTGTTAGGTTTTAGTTTGAGCTATCTGAGAGTTCAGACTTCAGAGTGGTGTTTTTCTACAATGGTTATGCTCAATGGTGGAGGAAGCATACATAAAGGTACTTTGCTACTGTTAGAATCTTTTTCCATAAATATGTTTTGTATATCCATATAGTTTTCTAGATTGATAAACTTTCTACCTATGATGGAGGCAAGGCAACCCAAAGAAATTCGTTTGATGCATTCATAAGCAGCAATACTGTATTCAGCTGTGGATGGTTTTAAACTATTAATGTCAACTTTCTCTACTTTTTCCCTGAAAGCTTGAAACCAAATTGTTATGTTGGCTATTATTCGACAAGTTAGTCACGATGATCCCTACATTAGATCTCAAAGCATTTCATTAGTTTCTCACCTCTGTTTGATTAGTAATATATTTGTTTGATCAAGGATAGTCTGTGTGACAATTTTAGATTTTACCCATCCCTTTTTATCTTTTAGCTTAAACACATGTAGAGTGATCATAATGGAGTGTGAGCCCGACTTCATTGTGAAAGTGGTAAGAATTGTTTAAATATTTATGACAGGAGTTGGTTAGTTCTTTAATTGATATGACAAGCTTTTCTGAGAGATACAAGATGGTGTCAAGGCTCGTAGGTTTTATCAATCTTCATTTAGTATCTAAAGGTATTACATGCTGTATAAATTCTGATGTGTGAATGTAAAGTTCCATCTCTTTTCCCGAGTTTTGGAAGGCTTGAGGATTGACAACCCTTAGCAACTATGGCTTCCCATGCATGGGTACAATCCATTTCTCTTCTCTGATGTGGCATTTATCTTCTCTCCTCTCTTGGAATAGTTTTGTCTTTGGTCTCAGTCTCCACTTAAAAGATCAATCGGGATTTCATTTCTTAATTGTTATACTCCTTTCATTATTTATCTGTTGTCTGAAATAGGTTCAAGATGTCCCTCAAGTGGGATATATAGGCATCTGACTTTTACAACAAAACGCAGCCAAATTCAGACGAGAAATATGAAAGAAGAAAAAAGCATGATGAGGGGGGCTAGAAATGGCAGGATCATGGAAGCAGGGCCTTGACCTTTCCCATAAGGCACGTAGGTGTAGGGATTAGGAGGCGCATAATAAGGATTTGGAGGTCCATAACCATAACCAAAAGTGTAAGGAGCATGAGGGGTACAACACTGAACACTTGCAGCAGGAGTGCTGGAGGGGCACCATATATGGAGTAACCAGAAGGTGGTGGTGGTGGTGGTACTCACTCCATAAGAAGGGTAACCAGAAAGTGGTGGAGTGACCTGCTGACATGAAGGATCATCCCTACAAGTTGGTTTTGGAACAGTTCTCACAAGAAGTTGGGGATGGGATGACATCACCTAATGTATCTCCGTAAGCTTTAAGATCAAAATTGGACTCTGATAATAACCAAAGGGCTATAACTACAAGTGACAGAAACTTTGCTCCAAACATCTTCTCCTCCCAACTTTAATGTTTAACTTACTTTTAGGCTAGGAGAATTCATTTATAAGAAGCAATGATGACCTTACAAGAGCTTTAGAGGAAAAGAGTGTTCTAGATTTGCTGTTTTCATTAGTAAGCAGCACCTGTTTTGATAGTGTTGGATCTTGCGCTTCTTTTTCTTCTACACACAGGATATGGTGTCGCATGGCAGCACATTTGTCATCATATTATTGAACTAACACACAAATGTCCTCCACTTTGCATGACTGTGCTAACGGATTGATAAAGTTGGCAACCTTTCTTTTTTTATCTGTAGATTTTGTTTATACCTTGTCATTTTCATCTTAGGTAAATGCTGTGTACTACCGTTCATGATGGAGTTCATCACCATGATGAGTGTGTAAGGTGAAAAAGTTTTATCAAGAAACTGTGTCTTTAAAGTAGAGAAATTTATTGCAGTTCGGAGATTTGTGGGAAAAAAAACTTGGTTCGTTTGTAAATAAGGATATCGAAAGATGAAAAACATTAAATTTAAAATGAAGAAAAAGTTTCTTGAGAAGTTGAATTTGTAAAACTATATATGCGTATGATGATTTAGGTGGTTTTGCAATGGTACCTCCAATGGGTCCAAGCCCATTTAAATCTCCAAACCTAATGGAGATAATAATGGGTGGGTTTGAATATCAATAAAATTTACACTAACATATAAACTTTATAAAAGTTTAAGAGAAAAATAAATTCGAAATAATAATAATAATCATAATATTGTGTTAAAAAATGTTATTATAGCTTTAAGAGTCAGATTGTACATTTGCTTGATATAGTAAATAACAAGACTTTTTACTCAAGATGCCAATAGTGTTGAAGAGAGCAATTTCAACAAATTTATCCGCAAATTTACGACACAAAATTATTTGTTTATTGAAAATGGGCTCAGATATCAGATAGTGCAATGGCTCTTGCAAAGATCCCTATGTCATACATAATGTAATGAAAAACAATAGTAATTACTTATCATTTAAGTTCAAGTATAACTTTTGCTCTCTGATATAATCAATCACTTCATCCGCTGTAAGGTATTTTATAGATACTCCTCTTGCAATGCAATCCCTGAAAATAGGAAAAAAAGACAGCGAAAATTGAACAACGTCTCCCTTTTTTAATTTACCGTCCAGTAAATCTAGAAAGTAAACAAGGTCATAGCATTACCTTACTCTGGTTGAGCTTATTTGATTTGGTACAAGTTCATCCACAACTTTGATATTATCCTAAAAAAATTGTAGTGGAAAATTTAAAAATGCATAAAAGCTGAGTAGCAAACCAATTCATTCTTTCCATCATAAAAAACTTGCAAACCGCAAAGGCAAACACCAAAGTTTGGTCCGGGAATTGTTTCATCACTGAATATTTAAAAAATATTCATCCATATGGTTCAAGTATCCAAGCCAAACAGAAAGCATGTCAAACAAAATGTCGGGAAGGCTTTACTGTGGGGGGACAGTGTCTCACACCCCAATACCTCAAGCAAAAGGAGTGTCCATTGGTTAAAAGCTAATTAGTAATCAAGGTTGAGAGGAATTGATCGGTTCTAACCAGTCACAGCAACCAAAAACCATGCGTGCTAGCACACATAAAGGTAATAAATTTTAATCATTAAATTTGAAATTACCCTGTTGATCAAACATCAATACACCTTTGTATATGGTACATAACAATCTGACCTATAATTTGACCAGAATATGGTTAAATACGAATACACAGTAAACAGATATTTGAAAATGTACAAAATTGATAAATCGCATTTGGTTTAATCGCATATAGGGAATAAAAATAAGTCAATCTTGAATTGTGAAATACCTGATATTTATTCAGAATTTCATTTTCAAATATAGTCTTCTCAACGTCTTGTCCTTCTCTGCTAATGCAGACTACCCCATAATCTTTGCATATAGATTTAACCTAAAGCACAATAACAAATTACAGTTCATTATTTACAGTATTCACCAACATATGTGGTAATTCAACCTGTTTATCCACTAATCATCCAATCCATTATCACAAAACAATCTATCCATTCAATTATAAGAATAAAACTAAACAGATTAGTCGAAGTGGACCACCATTTGTTATTGGATAGATATTTTGCAAATTGCAATGCATTTAATATCAAGCAGTTCAATTCTTCCAAGTTCATTACTTTCTTTATGAAACGAAAAATTTCAGTGTATTGTATTTGGGTGTAAGAATGTGTATAACTATTCAACTTTATTGTATAAAAATATTTTTTGAAAAAAATAAAATAATGGATGGGTTGGACCTTTTTTCTATGAGTTACAGATAGATTAGATTTGTTTCATGTATTTTTAAAGGGTCGTAAGGATTAATGGTTCCATTTCAATTCTATATTTATCCTATTCATTAGTTTAACACTCCTAATCTATACTCCATCCATTCTTTGTATCTACATGGGAAGAAATAAGAATATTTGACTCAATAAGCTTGTCATTTCTAACAATAAAAACACCACAAAATCAATCTAATTCCAATGAATTTGAATTCCACGAACATTTAAGGTTCATTTACCATAATTTATTTGGGGGGACAAGGTGTTGTTCCAAGAATTGTCAAATAACTTAATGTTAAACTAATGTGTGATAAACAATATTATATTTTTCTATTATATTGAATGCATCATTACCTGGTCAGGAATCCAGAATCCAGGAATGCCAAAAGAATGAAGGAGATCAGAACCACAGAGAAGCATGACCTTGAGGGATTCTACACTAATCAATATAAAAGCAATTGTCAAACACATTTATAGAAAGAAATAAAAGCCTAGCCCAGCATTTTTTTTAATGAAGGGACGATTAATGCTCCTTTTAGACTAATCGCATTTAAATCAATGAACATGTAGGATAGATGATATATATTGTATAACTTTTGAAGGCTTTAGTTCCCACACATAACCAAGTTGCCCATCCAATCATGCATCCATATTGCATCAAGAAATTCCACAAAGCATGTCCAAACATTAAAATCCATATATTAATCATTTAAATAAAACAGTATTCCTAATACCCAATCCTTAGCACCATATTATTTTTTGAAGTTCAACAGCAATAAGGATTAACATTAACGTTACTGGTTTTCATTATAAAAAGATATTACGGACCTGTTTGGGTAAACTTCTTCATCAAAACATGCGGGAAAAAAAATAAAGAGAGCTAAGTTTTTCCATAAGCTAAAACTATCTAATGCATAAATTCAAAATCTGATTTTGGAGGAGCTCACTGGAGAATGCTTCTATTAATTAGTTTATGCACAAGTTAATTTTGGCTTATGGAGAAGTTTATTTCCTTCTTTCTTCTTATTTTCTTCTCTTATAAGTGCTTAGGTAGAAGTTCATCCAAACAAGTCTAAGATAGCTAGTTTCTTGTCTGTCAATCATACCTCTAGATACCAACCCTGTCTCACAAACAGAATTGTAGACTCTGGAGAGAACAGTTAAAGTGCGTTGATATGTGCTCTGACTTGCCTGTAGCAGTTTATAACCAGATAGAAATGCAAAATATTAAGAAATAAGTTTGCCAGAGTAAAATATTTCTTGCAACACATGTGACATCAAAGCACTGTTTCTCAAATTCAAATCTATGAATAATGAAACCTTTTCACATTCAAAGAGAATAGAAAGACATGTCTAATGTGACTGAGAGTAATTTACCTCCCATTGATCAACCATTACAAAATCTGAACTTTTGCAGGCTAATTGACATAATTGTATTCGATGTTTAGCAGATATTAGGCCCTATATAAACATACAAGCGAAATACAATTAGACCAAGAAGTGGCAGTGAAACTAATAGCAACCCTTGATTCATAAAATCAGAATTTCATGAATAGAACCATAGGATTTGAACACTTTGCTGAAAAAAGTAAATTGAAAACTCAGTTATGTTTTTAATCTCTAATAGCTTGCTGACTGACTCTCAATAATTTCAGTATTCCCTACATACCAAGCTATGATTCAATCATTTATTTTGCCAACAAGTTTTACAGTCTCGCAAGTATTGATATAATAAATGAATAATTTTCTACTCCCCTTCCTTGATAACATCATACCTTTTTCTTGTATTCATCATTCACCGGAGACAAGTAACCTCCAATTACGCAATAGCCATTTGAATTCAATGAATCTCTTGCAAGCTCTAAGGATAACATCCACAAAAATATATAATTTTTGAAAAAGATCAGACAAACAGAAAATAAATGAAAATTACACGAGAGGGAATATTATGAACATATAATCCCTTTCACCTTCATTTAAAAAGTAAGTAGAAATTCGTTTCTATAGTAACTAAAGGAAGCTAACCATACTAGATGCACAGCATGAATTGTTCCCATGCGAACGCAACTCTTCTCCCAATCAATGTACAGCTTAGAGTTTCAATCACAAACCCAATTAAATGTATGCGGCTATATAATTATAATATAAATTCTAGTGTACAAAGAAGCCAGTGTTATAATATAATTTATCTGAGTATATTTTACCGATGGTTAAACTATGGTGTTTGATCACAACATGCCAAAACCACTGTAAATAATAAAGTGATTATTATGTCATGCGCCGTTGGCTACTAGAGTATTGAGCAATGAATGCACATTTATTTGTTTCACATGATGTATATGAGATCTTGATTCTTCCCATCAGAAAAAAAGAAAAATATCAAATTGTTCAATAATCAATAACTTCAAGATGTCATTTCCTTTTGTTAGAGGAGTGGAAGGAGTTAGATAATTCAGATTTGAGTTTATAAGCGCCAAAGCAGTATGATTGTCTCAGGGTAGTGGAAGAACAATTTCTACAGTACAAATTTGAGGCAATGAAAACAAAGGAAAGATCTAGCTCTAAACTCAACTCACCGAACATTCGTAAATGCATGAAAGTAGGTGGATTAAAGCTTCCAGTTGCCACCAGAATTACGTATATCTTGCTGCTGTTTTATTGGGACAGAGAGAAAGAATGTCATAATCATGATAAGGTCAAGAAAAACACCCTCACAAAATTACCCAAATAAATAAATAATACAGGAACATACTTTCTCGTGTTTCCAGGAGCGGGTTCATTATTAATCAAATTTAAAGCCAATTTATCCAGTGGCAGTGGAACATCCATGACCTGAAGACATTCAATACCATCATTGCTGAAATCAAAATGCGAACAACTAGTTTTTTCCTTGATTAACTGAACTTGCAATTCCAGTTTCAAGCTCTAATAGAATACAAGATATGTTTTTACTAAGTTAAACGTAAAGCAATGGAGTTTCAAGCCAGAATTACAATTATTCTCAACCATGCCTTCCTTTCATAATGAAACAACCAAGTTTATTATAGCCAATTGATCGATGAAAAAATAAAGGTTATAATGAGAAGCAATATTTGCAAATAAACCTGAAAATTACATTGTTCTCGAGGTAGGTACGTGAACAAAGATGGAAGTGTTTGAGAAAAAAAGAAAAGAAAGGAAACTTGCATGATTATTTTATTAACACGGTAAGAAATCTCAGAAGAAAAAAACACCAAAAAAGAACACAAACTACATTAAATAAACCAAGGCAGAGACTAAATTTCAAAGTTTGAGTAGGGTCTGTTAATCGTTACAACGCATGATTCCACCCAAAGAAAAAGTCAGCTAAGGTCGCCAATTTTTCATAAATCTTCAAGAAAAGAAAACCTAGTTAACAAAAAAACTCGTGAACTCATTTTCCCAAAGAAAAATGAGAAAGAATATATAAACCAGCCACTAACAGCTAATTCACAAACTCGGTACTTTTCAAACAACTATAATTTGATGAGAATCAGGTGCAGGTCACTGTTAATGAACCGGTATAACAATTAGCGTTACACAAAATATAAAACCAGTGAGCATTGAAGATGGTGATTACTGGGTGGATTTGCTGAAGGTATAGAATGAAAAATATACATGTAAAAAAAAAAAAACATATTATAAACTGCCATGAGTTAGCATATACAAGTTTGAGACAAATTTAGATTTGGGGTTTGATTCAAATTAGAAAATTAAAAAGATATTTCAGTGAATTATAAAGAAATGAATTAAAATTACAGAGAGAAGGAACCTGAGTGTGATGGGTGGCGAGGTGAGAGTGCTCCAGGAAACAGAGGTGGGGGCGTGTTTCAGCATCCAATTACCACAATTCATGCAAATTTCAACCCAAGACGTACGTTGCTTCCTTCAACCCAAGACGTCAAATTTCAAATTCCAAATTCCAATATTCCATTTCCACGCCCATTCCAGACTTCACTCACGCTTCTTTTTTCAACAGAGTTCAATAAGATGGGCCAATAAATCCCGGATGGCCCAACTATGAAAAGTTCACTGAACCCATTGGGCCTCTTAGGTTGTACCTTCGCCCAATAGAAAGAGTGGTAGGCCCAAAATAACGAACCTTATTGTATATGACGTTTATATATGTAAATTATTCTTAAGAATGTGTAAGAAAGACCAATTCTTTAAAAAAATGTGTTTTTCATCCTCGATATATATACAATATTTCGTCATTCATTAAAAATCAATTTAAACTGTAATTTAAAAATCAAATAGACTCTGACCCTATTCAAACAAGCTTATAGGTAAATATTCATTGAAAATAGAATATATATATTAAGTTACTTCTCTAAAAACTTATTTGAACTAATGTATATGTTAAAGTTAAATATTTTTTTTCCTAAAATTTTTATGCAACTTTTTTTTCTTACCTATACAAACTAATAAATCTTTGAAACTCGCCGTGCGTAAACAAAATATTATAGCTAAGTAATATTTTCGTATATATTTTTGTTTTGAAGTTTTTTATTTCATTCTTGACGTCAGGCAATGTTGAAGTTTTGATGCATAAGAAAATCTAAAAATTGAATTTGCTTATTTATTTGAAACATTATGTTACGGCAGCAATAGGAGCATGATTACATGGTGGAAAGAAGGGTTGGGATGTAAATAAAAACTGTTTCTACAATTAAAAAAAAAAGTGTAAAAATATTTGAGTTGCATTTTATGGTGAAAATTAAAAAATGATTCTGCAGGCATTGATTTCTTGTTGATTCTTGGAGCAGGCATGGGCACGTGCATGTTCATGGTTGTCTTCTTCATCTTCACGCTGTTGGGGGCGTTGTGTGATGAGGTGCTAGCCACAGAAAACAACATCAGCTTCGACTTCCCTTCTTTCACTCACAACAATAACATTACTCTTCTCGGTGATTCCTTTCTAAGGAGCAACGGCGTCGTAAGACTCACCAACGCCGTCCCCTCTTCCAGCACTGGCGCAGTCATCTACTCCCACCCCATCGCCCTCTTCCACCCTCATACCGCCTCCTTCGCCTCCTTCTCCACCGCCTTCTCCTTCTCCATCAACAACCTCAACCCTACCTCCTCCGGCGACGGCCTCGCCTTCTTCCTCGCCCCCAATACCACCGCCAATCTCTCCCTCTCCGCCCCCCTAAGCCTCCCCCCATCCTTTGTCGCCGTTGAGTTCGACACGCGTCTCGACTCCGGCTTCGATGATCCCAACGAGAACCACGTCGGCTTCGACGTCGACGCCTTGAAGTCCTTCAAAACTGTTGACCCCATCTTGCACGGCATCGACCTCAAGAGCGGCAACACCATCATCTCATGGATCGACTACAACACGGATCGAACTTTGCTCACCGTTTTCTTGAGCTATTCACGTCCAAAACCCGTCGACCCAGTTCTCTCCGTCAAGTTCGATCTTTCTGAGCACTTGAGAAACCCCGTCTACGTTGGATTCGCCGCTTCCACTCGAGGACATACAGAGATTCACCAAATCCTGAGTTGGACTTTTCACAGTGCTTTTTCTCCCGCAAGAAAGAGGTTGCACCCTCACAACGTTTCCGTGGTGGGAACTGTACCTATTTCTGGTTTAGGTTCTAGTTCCGGTTCCCGTTCTATTTCTACTTCCAAGAAGCTTGACAAGAGGGTTGGCATTGGTGTGGTTGTTGCGGGTTCTGTCTCTTTCTTTGTGGGTTTTTCAATCTTGGGGTATGTCTTTGTTCGGAGATGGAGAGGTGGGAGAAAAGAGAAGTTTCAGAATGGTTTAGTGGCGTGTCCTAGAGCGTTCAATTACAAAGAGTTGAAGTCTGCGACAAGAGAGTTTCATCCGACTAGGATTGTTGGGCATGGATCATTTGGGACGGTGTATAAGGCTTTCTTTGTATCTTCTGGAACCATTGCTGCAGTGAAAAGGTTGCGGCACTCTCACGAAGGAAAGACTGAGTTTCTGGCTGAACTCTCCATCATAGCTGGTTTGCGGCACAAGAATTTGGTTCAGCTGCAAGGTTGGTGTGTTGAAAAGGGGGAATTGTTGCTGGTGTATGACTTTATGCCCAATGGAAGCTTAGACAAGATGCTTTACAAGGATCCTGAAAGTGGGAGGTTGTTGTGTTGGTCTCAGAGGGTCAACATTGCTCTTGGGTTGGCCTCTGTGCTGGTTTACCTTCACCAAGAATGTGAGCAGAGAGTGATTCATAGAGACATTAAGGCTGGCAACGTATTGCTGGATGGAAACTTCAACCCTAGGTTGGGGGATTTTGGATTGGCAAAGCTCATGGATCATGATAAGAGTCCTGTGTCCACTTTAACTGCTGGAACAATGGGGTACCTTGCACCTGAGTATCTTCAGTACGGAAAGGCCACTGATAAGTCTGATGCTTTCAGCTATGGGGTGGTTGTGCTTGAAGTGGCTTGTGGGAGGAGGCCAATTGAGAGAGAAGGGTCCAAGATGGTGAATCTGATTGAGTGGGTTTGGGGGCTACACTCAGAGGGGAAGGTGATTGAAGCTGCTGATAAGAGGTTGAATGGGGAATTTGAGGAAGAGGAAATGAGGAAGCTCTTGCTCTTGGGATTGAGTTGTGTTAACCCTGACAGTGCTGAGAGGCCATCCATGAGGAGGGTGCTCCAGATTCTTAGCAATGAGGCTGCACCACTTATTGTGCCAAAAGTGAAGCCAACACTCACCTTCTCTTTTGACCTGCCTCTCACTATTAAGGACATTGTTTCTGATGATGAAGAGTTGAGTACCAGCCCGTCTTTGTGTGAGATCAAAATTGACTGAACTCAACTTATCCTTCTCTAATGCTACTCTGCAATCTCATACTCATACATAGTGATAGTTCATTCACTGAATGTTATGGGCTAAGAAGCTATGTATATGTTCAAGCCACAACAGAAGAAGCTTGTGTTGTTTAGGTCATGAAACAGGTGACAATAACAATGACGGACTGAGAATTGACTTACAAGTTTGTATATTTTACCAATCATGCTGTAATGTTTCATTACAGAATTCTTAAGCAGGACCCTGTTATATAAAATGGGGGATTTGTTTTTTAAGAAAAAAATTATCTATAGTCTATAATTATAAAAAAATAACTTCAAATTTTATTGTATCCTTTAACTCCATATCTTTTACATTCTCTCTTCTCAAATAATCATATATAATTTTTTTACAATATCATATTAAACTTTGAAAAATTGAAATCTGTTAAATAATAAAATATAAATATGGTTTATATATATTTGAAAGTATTTATTTATTTATAAATTTTAACTATATAAATAAACATTCATCTTACGTAGATGAAAATGTTGGTCGCTATCCAATATTTTTTAAAGGAGTAAATTCAAAATAAGGAATTAAAAAAATATTATAGGAGTAAAAATAAAATAAAATATAAATCTAAACGTTAAGCACCAATATAATATCCTCCCATATAACTTCTCTCACTTTTATTTTTTTTATTATAAAACTAATTTATCATTTCTAAATTTAAATAAAAAAATAATAATATGTGTTCGAGGAACATTTGAAACTACATTTTCATAATTTAAATACACAATCTAACTTTTTATCCTTCCAACATTAACATGTTATAATGTTATGTTACATATGTATATATATATATATATATATATATATATATATATATATATATATATATATATATTATTCATGTATGTTCCACTAATTTTTTTTTAAATTATTATGTTCTTTTTACTTTATTAAATAATCAAAATTTATCATTTTTGTCTTCTCTCATATAACTTTCATTTGCACTTCATTTTAGATATAAAGTATTTGAATAACTAGTTTTTATTAAAAAGCTTGGTCGGACAAATTCAATATTTTATTTAAATTTTTCTTGTTCAGTTTTAATCGGATATCGAAAAGTAATTACGTTGATTTAACTTGAAAGAAATATATTTTGTACACTATTATTTAATCATAACTTATTATTTATGTTCTAAATAATTATTTTAAAATTCATATTTAATAACTCTATTTAGTTAAAATAATATTTTTTTTCTAAAATACTTAAGAATTAAAATTTTCTAATATTATTTTCCAAAATATAAATTGAAAGGAATCTGCCTATTTATTTCAATTTTTTTTCTTCCAAGAAAGCAATAGATCTTTCATCGGGTGGTACTGAAATTATATTATGTTTAAAAAATATTCTTTACAATTTGTTTCTCATTAATGTGAATTGATTCTTACTGAATTTCATTGTTACCTTTTATGAGTAGATCCGTTTGAGAATGAAATCCATTCGAAACGGACCAAAACTCACCTTCTATGCAGTGATGATGCCGAAAACTTCAAGATCACGTAAGCAACATCATTTCTTATGTTTATCACTTTACACTGGTTTTAGGTTTGATGCACACTACGTAACTGGTTTCCCTACCAATTATGGCCGGTGCATAACCTTCCTCATCAAAAGGGTGCTATATAACTACAAATATGACAAGAACTAACACAACCAAAACAAATCAACAAAAACCCATCCTTTTTCTTCCTAGTGGGGTGTTTCCACTGTCACAAATATTTGCATTCTTATCAACAATTGGTTGATTTGAGTAACATTAAGTTTAGGTTTCTTAAGAAACTACTACATTAGTTGGAAAGAAAAAAAAATGCTCTTAAGTATGGAAAAAAACTGATATAAAAGAAAAAAGAACCGACTTACTTTACTGAGTATCAATTTTTTTTTTAAAAAGTATATTATTCTCAATGATAGATTAAGATATATAACTTAATCATAAGAATTGGAAAAATCATCATAAAACTAGTAGAACATGTTCAAAACTGGATATAAATCGGTAAAAGTATGATCTGCAACAAAATATATATTTACATGACAGTGATGTGAACATTTGAATTTATCCAGTGTTATTCCGGTGGTAGTAGACATACCATATTTCAATATAAGCGCTTGAAAGGGACATATAATGGAAGCTGAGGCAAGAAAAGCTTGAGAAGATACCTTGAATGGTATTAGACATAGAGGTGCATGTACCCTTCAAGTTTAGCTAGCTAGAAAGCAAAGGCATGTGAATGTGATGATGACAGAGGAAGAGAGAGCACACTCCCAACAAAGGCAAAAACTCCTTTAACCATTCCCGGGTTGTGCTCTCTCTCTTCTGTCAACATGAGATGACACATCTCATCACAATCTCTCCAACCACCAATAAACCCTTCAACACATGCTTTTCCATTCGTGTCTTCGAGATCATCATCCTGTCCATCATATATCAACCATCACACCATCTTCCATTCGGGTCAGACCATACATTTATATTTATTGATACAGCATTTGCATGTGCACCTTTCCTGCATCAAAATAACCATCTTTCTTCCTACTCTATCTTTCGTCTAAATACGTGCATATATATTAATTGACTTTTTCAATATACACACACGAATCTATCTATGAATAGATCTTCTCTTTACTTCCTCAAGAACTCATAGATTAAGTTTTTATATAAACGAAGTTAGTTTCACTTCAACTTTTTTCTTCCTTTTTGTATATCTCTAAATCTTTTACTTAATTAAGATGTGAGACTAATTCCTCTAACACATAACTAGGTCAAGTTTGAAAACAATACTAAAACTGGGAAAATGGGTCCTAGCCATAAATAATCCTGGTAAATATTGTACACATTTTTGGAAACGTTTCTTTAATGTTGGATATAATTTTAAGATTGGGGTCTCAAGTAAAAGAAAAAAGTTGTTATTTCTAATTAAATCTGTTAATTAGCTTCAACTTCAAGTATTTATAACTTAAATAGGTACATAAAATTATATATATATATATATATATATATATATAGGGGGGAGAGAGAATCTTTCCATGTTTTTAGAATGAATATCAAGTAGCAGTAGCGAATTGATTGATCTCTAGATTTATAATTGAATCCAGGTTTTACTTTTTAGCTTACTATCGATATAATTTCTTCAAAATATTAACCAATCTTAGATCTTAGTCTTATTTGTAAGAGGATCAGGAAGAAAAACTGATAAAGGTGAGAATGAGACATGACATGCATATCTATGATGCTGATTATAAATTTATTGAATGAGTATACGTGTGTGTGTGTGTGTGTGTGTGTGCTAAATTCTTTAGAAATGACATGAGATGCACACAGATTATGAGTACATGATCGATGCTGTATCTCATCAACAAGAGTGAAGAGTTAAGCATGAAATCACCTGCATGTTGAGTCTTTTCTTTCATTCCAAATCAGCCTCAGCAACTGAAGCTTCTCTCCTTCTATACACCTATGCATTATAGGTAGGAAAGAACTAATGTAAGATATGAAGATGTAATGGAGGGAACAAAAGGAGCATCATTGTAAAGATGGAGTTATGGAGAAGAAAGAAGAGACTTTTGGGTCCTGAACAAGATGAAGGCTCGAGAATGAGGAGAGAAAAACGTATGAAACAAAAACTCTTTGAGAGCACACCAGAAACAATGTAGCGGTTCTTATATAACATCAAGCTCATTGAATTTAACCGATCGTACGGTGTATATATATGCCTATATGGTTTAGCTAACCTGCTATAGGTCTAATAAATGTAGAGTTGTATTCTTAGGAATATCATTACCTAAGTAATTAATTACAATCATGGCTAACTGATTTGATTCAATTTTAAAAGAAATTGATGTGCTTAAAGTATTTTTTATATTTAAATATCTTTTCGAAAAAAATAATTAATATTATCATGATTGTTGACTAATTTCTGATCAATACAAAGGATTAACATCATTCTGATTCTCCTGGTAAAAACAATTGCATGCGAGCCCTTTAGGGTAAATTGATTGAAGACATTTAAATTTGAGAGAGTGGAGGTTTCTGCGAAGCTGACAAGACTGTTCGACTGGAACTGCCAACTGGGTGTCGTTGGTTGTATGCAAAGAGCCAATGAACTACATCGTTGAATAAGATCCTAGGTAGCATTTTGTTTCTAAAGTAAATCAGTTTAATTTTCATCAGTAACGTTGTTAATTAATACAAAATTATTTCATGTACGATTTCAAATTAACTATTGTAAACATGTAATTAAATAATAATGCAAAGAATTGCTTTTTTTTTTTTTTTCAATTTCGTATTCTCTATGTACCATACTGTTACTGATAAACCCTCATCCCATACTCTTATTAATCTGTTATTAGAATAGAGCTAATAATAGAAGAGATTAAATAATTTGAATAAAGTTACAAATATAAAATCCATTATTACTATTATAAAAAAATTTGCAGATGAAATCATTTATTATCTTGAATGGTTGCAGTATTATGAAGAGAATACACTGAAACCTATCCCCTGAGAGAGAGGAAGAGAGAGAGAGAAACCAACCAAAACCGCATCTTGTGGACCTGCCTTCCTTTTTTGGTGTTTGAAATTAATGTCAGGGACCATGGTGTGTGTCTCTGTGATCTATGCTCTGTTGGGCTTGTTTGTTCCGACTTGTGACTTCTGAGCAGAACAGAGAGCATAATAGTTTCCATGACACGTTGTAGACATGCACAACAATTAGTAATACTTATCTCAGTCATAGCCTCTGCATGGCAATGCATACTTCAGAGAAGCCAAATGTACACCCAGCCACCGTTAGCTCTGCTGCTTTCTCCTTATCACAAACACTCATCATGCTCTAAACAAGGTGTTAACATATTCGCCCTACAAAACTTTTTGTGATTTTTTTTTTTAAATATTAGAAGCTAGTCCCACGATTACATCATAAATGTCTAAATTAGTGTTCAATTGAGTAATATTACAAGTGGGTTCACGGGCACCATTGATTTAGTGCTTGGAGTACTTACAACTAATAATTTAAATATTGCCTCTATTCTATTATATAAACTTCGGAGCTTGGTCCAAATTGACCAGAAATGAAACACTTGAAAAGTACATTACTGTATACTGTCCTATGCTGCAAAAGCCAAGACAAAACCGAAAATTATGACTCTGCCAAACTATACCCAAAAGGGTGAGAGATGCACGTTAAGCCCAACTGAACTTTTTTAAAATCTGAATAGAATATTTTGACACCAGAAAATCATAGATATTCATTTCTAACTTGCATTTCATAGCCAGCCTTAGCCACAAAACTTCTCGTGTAGACAATTACAGACTGAGATCAACTAAATTCAAGGTTCTAGTCCATTCGTTTAATCGTTATAAACAAACTATAGCTATATGTTTCTATGTATCATTTGCCACCAGTAACATTAACCAGTGTTATGTAAATAGCAGCGTAAGGGAAACCGTAAAAACAGCATTCCAAGTTAACTGCTACTGAACTTTACACTTAAAAGGAATTTCTTGAAGCTGCAGCGGAATGTGCATTAAAGCTGGAGAAATCTTTGAAGCTTGGACATTCCATTCAGAAAAATCGTATCTGTACTTGTTTAAAGGATCAACAACCACCATCCATCCAGAGTTCTTGGTAAAATCGAACTTACGGACGAAGTCATTTAAATTTTTTCTATGGAGAGAAATCAAAATGTCTGTTCTGGATGTGCAGTACCCTACTTCAAGTTAAATGCTCGATTTCAAAGCATGAAGAATTGGATCGATATACCAGAGCAGCCACAACTCATAAGCAGTCTCTTCATTTTTTCATTGAATGACATCTATTTGGGGATCCATCCTCAAGGGATTCCTTCCCAGAAATTCAATCTATGAATCCCGTACTAAACGAGCTGCAAAGGAGCCATCTAGAGAATGTTTAACTGGGTTGGAGAAAAAGAAACCACTGCTTGTCACAAAATCAAGAGGAACATATCTGTCTACAGGATCAATACGGAAATCCTGAAATTCAAATAATATTAAATTAGCACTTGAAAAATTAGACTGGAAATCAGAGTAGGGATCTCCAAAGAGAATGATATACATGTTGTTCCCGTCAAATCCATACTGCTATCAAAAACTCAAAATAGAATCAGAAAATCATGCCCTAAAATGTTTACAAGGACCTAATAAAAGACATGCTAAATATTTAATTTCCATACTTAAATTAAAACTTCCAGTAACCTCTAATGCTATTCAACAGTATCCCTGAAACGTAAATAGCATCTAATTTCTCTAAAGAAGAGCCTCCCCAAGCTTAAAAGAAGGATTTGGCATTTAAAATAGCTGGGATAGAAAAATTCAACAAAAGGTAATTTAAAGTTGTACAAGAGAATGGGTAAGAGTATTTGAAACTAAAAATTAGAATATTTGAATAGGATTAGTGAATAGTGATAATTCTTACCGGATGTCGTACAAGAAATGCAGTCACCCTGTCATCATTTTCTTCAGGATCTATGGAGCATGTACTGTAAACTAGTACTCCCCCAGGTTTTACCAATCTATATGTGCAGAAAAAAAAACCCATTAGGGCGAAACGATGTGTCATAGATTGGTTTCATCAACTTCTATAGAAATTATTTCAAAATTAGGATAATCAAGTTTTCATATCAGCATACAACATCCTTGATTCATTACATGATTAGAAACCAGCATGTGAAGCTTTTTGTCACTTCACTCAATGAATTCACTAGACAAAAAATAATGTACACAAACAGAGAGGGAACATAAAAAAGAATCTCTGGCTCACTTGCATGCTGCATCCAGGAGCTCATCTTGTAATTTCTTCAGTTCTTCCATATCCTCTAGCTTCCTGTTCCAGCGCAAGTCCGCTCTCTTCAAAAGCCGAGGAAAAAAAAAACAGATTAATTTGAAAAGGGGAATATAATACTTTTGTGAAAACAATGACAATAAGCAAACATATTTAACACAATCACCTTGGATAGAACACCAAGTCCAGAACATGGGGCGTCCAACAGAACTTTGTCACTCTTAAGTTGTCCGCTATCCTGGGAAATCCAAAGGAGAACCAATAAGAAATAATTAAATAACAATTTCTGAGTTAACATTACATAGGGAAAAAATAACTTACAGTCAATGTGCGAAGATCAGCATGAATGGCGGTAATGACACCATCCACTTGGTGCAACTTTGCTGTCTCTTTAAGAATTCTCAACCTACCACTATTTACATCAACAGCAAATACCTTACCTGGAAACACAAGCTTTCCTTTTATTTGGCGGAATGGTACACCAAAAAAGCAAGAAACTAGTATATCAACAAAATTGTAAGTTAGGTCATTGTAGAGCAAAACACATTGTCTGATGGAGAACATTTTTTTTTCATTACATTTATGAGAGGGTGGGGTGGGAGGGATCTGAAACGATGTTCACATTTCAAAAAGGTAATAATTCCAACTCCCAGAGTTAAAGACCTAATTCACTAAAACTAAGTACAAGTCTCTGAAACAAATATCTACCTTGGATGAAAAAGAAGTCAAGAAAAGATTTCATAAAATATCTTAGCCGATTTAATACCTTGGCCACTTAAATGAGAGGCCATATAGAGGGTCTTTCCACCAGGAGCAGCACAACCATCAAGTATAGTTTCACCAGGTTGAGGATCCACAACAGAAACTACTAGACCTGCAATCAAGGATGTAAGACACACTGTACGATAATATAACCAAGGAAAGTAAAAATTTCTTTCAATTCAAAAAGGAAATAAAGACTGGTTGAAATCTATACTTTGGTTTGCATATTGGGTAAAATAGCGTGTTTGCAAAATGCAAGGCCTCTGGTCATATATTCCATCAAGCACAAAAAAATCTTACAAAGAAAACTAATGCGTGAACATGAATGCCTAAAATAATGTATTAATCCTGATGGGTCATCTTAGCAAAGCAGAGGCCAGTGCTCCAATTAAAATACAGAAGAGGGGAAAAGAAACTTTAGATATTACAGCCATATAGGCATTCCTTCTATGAGAAAAGATGACAGGTTAACCTGCACTTTCATCCTGAACTGAACATAAACCCTTTTTGAGCAGACCAGCATGGATGATAATCTGAAATACGAGACCAGAAATAGTCAACTTAAATGAGAAAGTCATGTCAACAGTTTACTTCATAACAGATAATAACAGCAAAACAAATATATCTTCAATGCCTACCATGTGAAAAATATAAAATACATAAAAGGAAACGATAGCCAACAGTAGGCAAGTAGTCAACTGAAGCACAATTTCACACCATTGAACCTATTACCTATTATGACCTAAGGTAGAAAATATGTATGCAGTTCAGTCCCTACGGTATTTCTCCTCTAATCAGTGTTTGACTCCATAGAAATTCATTACACTCATTAGGAAGTTCATACCTGCAACCCAGTTTTGATACGAACAAATTCATCCAAATGCAATGAAAGCTTGTGTGGGACCTGATATTTAATAAGAGAGACTTAAATATGTCGTGAAGGCATAGATGGTACAGAGAGCAAGAAGAAATAACAATTGTATTGTGCAAATGTAACATGAACTTCTGCTCAAACCTGTAGAGAAAGAGAGGAATTCATTTAAAACAAATTGCAGGATTTTCTGAATTTCAAAAACCATTAAAACAATAAAAAAAAAAGCAGATAGTGTGATAAGCAGAAGAAAATGCCACATTCAATCCTGGAAGTGGTAGCACCTTCAATGCATTAAGCTGTATCACAAGGTCATCTCTTGAAAAACCACTTGCACGGTTTGCTCTGAAATTACCATAGATATATATTTTGAGTGGTTACATGCTACCCTGGAAGGATCACAGAAAAATGGAAGAATTATTTACTAGCCTTAAGCTGAAACTGGGCTCACTGTTATTCCATATCATCAATTTAATGGCTTCTTCCTGGCCGAGATACTTTATCCATCTCCTTATCATCCACTGCAAAAGATGCAATAAGAAAATGTTTCAATTAAACTTTAATTACCTTATTTTGGTGTCAGCAGTTTAGTGATTTCAAAATCCTTCTGTTATAGGAAAAGGAAACTAAAATTATTCATTGTTAAGAGTTAGCAGAGACAAAGGAATATTAGTGGTTAGTTAAGTTAGAAGGGTTAAATAGATATAGATAGGAAATAGGAGGATGTAAGGTAAAGAGGATCATTTTATGTTGTATCAATTGTAAACAAAGCATTAGCTTTGTGTAAAAGAGAAACAGTCTGAGAAGGGACAAGAGATTTATCTCTTTTGTTCTGTTCAGTTGATTCAATGAATAATTTTTCTTTTCTTTTTCTCATTTCTACTTTGGGTTGTAACATTCATCATCACAGCTAATCAATTTTGTTAGAAAAAAAATCTTCAGATAATCAACTGTTCACTTCAGCTATCTAGAATGAAGAAGAGAGACTAAACCTGAGGCCCTGTGGAATGCTATTAAACCCCTTTTTGCATAAAACAGGGATAGACATTTAGGATATATATATATATATATAGAGCAAACTCACGTTTGACCAATAATACTAACTTGAGAGTATAAAAACCCCAGAAAACACCATTCAAAATAAGAAACATTAGATTTTATTGCACTGTATCTGAATTCTAAAATACAACCTTCCACCTTCGAAATAAAAAATTTCAGGCTTTCAATGTTAGCCTATTAAGTATGTTTTGATAACAATCACAAAATATTTAGAAAATACCACTAGCATAGCATTTTAGGTAGAGCTTGCTAGAAAATGATTACAAACTACATAAATAGTTTTAATTCTTCTTTGTTGAATTTTTTGTGTACAGCCCTTTTGAGTATCTTAAGCTTATATCATACCCATATTTTAATGGTATTGAGGTTATTGCTGACCACAAAATAAAAACATATATGCTTATCCACCTCTAATGCAGATATTCCTAATTCTGAATTTTCGTGAATTGGAAGAACGAATAGTGGTACAGAAAAGTGACAGTAGTAAATCACTCACAACTGGATGTGAGTACAGAGTTGCCAAAGCACGTGCTTGAGCACGGTCATCACCCTCCACTTTGGGCAAAGGAAGAGTATCATTCTCCTGCAAATCAAACATCAATGCATTTGATAAAATTCTTCATGATTTTCCACTCTTACAGTTAAGACATATTCAATCGACAAAAAGTAAAACCTTAAGCACAACTAGCTTTCGGAGAATTCCATTGACCAAGTTGCCAGCCCCAGGTCTGAGAGCAACTTTAGCAAGCTCAACATTCTGCATTTCATACAGCAAATTCACATAACAACAAAAAGAAGGTTGGACTACAGTGTATATATATTATATTGAACCAAAGCCTCAAATTAACCAATCAAACTAACAAAAACATAACATCAGAATTTATTTTAAATGAATTCTTTGCATAAATAAAGAAAAAAAGAAATATAAGTTGAATTTAAAAACAATAATCACACATAAGAATAAAATATTATCTGTACCAGTAGACAACATTGAAAAAACTGAATTCAACAAATGATAACCTTTGCAATTATAATTTAATTCATATCCCTTATTGAAACGACTTTTTATGGTCTTTTCCCAAGTCTCAGGCAACACGAATCCAGCCTATTCATATACGAAACAAAAAATGCATATGGGACAAAAAAAATACCTCATCTACTACAGCATAAGGTGGCATGTCTAATTTGACAATCTCATAGAAGCCTATTCGTAGAATCTGAAACAATTAAAGAATTAAGATCATTAATAATGTTCAAAGAATATAAGTGCTCAGGCTGATGAATATTTGACAACACCATGTCTTTTTATTCCAAAAGTTTCTCCTAAAAATCTATACTGCACAGTATTGGACGAAATTAGAACAGAACCATTTTTTCCTTTCCTTTCCCCTTTGTTTGTGCTGTATATGACGAATTTAATTAGTCAGTGTCTCAAACAAACATGCTCGGAAGAAATATAGAGGTCAAAGTCACCTGCAAGAGAAGGGGTTCCATGCTAGATATATCTTTATCGTGACATAGTGAACTGATCAGATGATCAAGATATCTTCTCCAGCGAATTGTGCCCCCAACAATGTCTGTGACCTATGTAATTTGTAGTACGAACCGAGTAAAGAATCAATAAATTTGTTGATGAATTCTAAAAGGCATGAACGAGAGTTTAGTTTAAAAGTCAAAACACTTCAAAGTTTCAGCCTAATTAGGAGTGATAAAACTCTGGACTCTATGATGTCTGATCACATAGGAGGAGAAAGTGGGGAAAGTAATCGACGTCTCAGTAGAACAGTAAATCAAGCATTATACTCATACAGTATGCTTAATCCAAGATGAATATAAGCGTGTCATTCAATCATTCCCATATACCACTTTCATAAAGGACAACAATAGCTAATTTGTATTTTGAATTATTGATAATGAAACTACAAACGTCGTTGCCATTGACCAAAGCGTATTAGACATTAAAGAGAACATTTAAATTTAAGAAAGAAAGAACGTTTTGTATCGTACACGTGTGAAGCAGAGCAGAGAACTGGTTCAAAGTGATAACAAACTAAATTACTAACCAATCTAAGATCATGATGATTCAATTCCCGAGTGCGAAAACCAAGCGTTCTTTGAACATATCCCATCTCATTTTCACCAGAACCTTTCCCTTTCTCGTTGAGAAGGTCAGCAAAAGCACCACCGAGCTCAATTCGCATCAATCTCACCGCTGAAACTGCAACATCGAAAAAACCAAACCAACAAATGAAAATCTTCACTTTCTTTCAAGGCATACACGACGACGAGGGAAAAGTGGATGTACCAGCTCTATGAGGAGAAACCTCTAAATTCAGTTTCTGGGTTTTGAGCAGACGGTTGCCACTGCCTGAAAGTTTCATTTTTTTATTTTTTTTTTTTGTGATAGTGAAAGAATCATGAATGAAGTAGGAGCATTGTAGCAGGAAAAAAAAAACATGGTTTGTTTGTTGTTACCTTTGGCAGTGGTGGCAATGGATACGTTGGTGCTACGGGTTCTACGGGCAAGCTTCAATGGCCTGGAAGAAGAAGAGGGTGATGATGCAGCTTTGTGGGGTTTTGCGGGGAAAGGTAAAGCCATGTACAGCACCTGCGCCATGCTTAGATCCTTAGACCTTCGATTGCTAACGTCGTACCTGTTTCTTAGGCTTTGCTCTTTGGATAATAAAGGTTTTTTCTTTTTCAAGAAAAAGACATCAAAATACCAAAAAAAAAAAAAAGAGTGTGTATGAAATAAGGATATATTTAAACAAGTGTTTTAATTTATGAAATAACTTATTTTATATATTTTTATTTTTTAAAGTCTTTAAAAAAACTGTTATCATAGACTTTATATAATAAAATATTTTATAAATTAGTTTATACATATATCAATTTTAACTTATGAAAATAGGATAAATGATATTTTAATATATGAATGTGTTGATTGATGACAAACTAAATCATATTCTTCAAAGATTAATTTAAAATTAATTTATAAATTTAATGAGAACAAGGATGATACTTTGTGATTGATTTCTTGCTTTCCTATTTGAAGTTGTTACATTTTTCAACACTCATTCCAACACGTTACATGTAATAAACCACAAAATTCTCCCTTTTATTTCAAAACACCATCTTCAATCCTAAATTTTCTCCTTTTTTTCCTCATCCCTTTCTTTTTTCCGGAAATTGGTTCATCATCGTATTCATGTCGGCATGTCTTTTTTTTTTCCTTTTAATGACTAAGATTTCCATGGATTACATTTCATCATTTGTTCTGTCTGATTCCTCATCGATGATTTATTTGTTCATATTGCCGAGTCATTTAGATTTTGCTCCTTATATCTTGAATAGCATTTCACAATGATATTGATTCATTCTCATGTACATGTAATATCTGTTTCCATTTCTTTAGTTTGGTAACATTAATTGAAAAACATAGAATTTATTTTATATTTTTATTTATATTATTTTTTACACATATAATATATCTTATAGTCTTTTACTCTAATAAATCAGGATTAAATATAGGAAGTTCTGATTATACAATATTTTATACCGCTATACCAACCTATAATTTAGCTAATCAAATATTTTTATCCCAACACTTCCCCTCAGGTTGGTAAATGGATGTCATACATTCCCAGCTTGTCCAATGATCTCCTAAAAATCTGACTTGTCACAATTTTGGTAAGAATGTCTGTCAACTGATCTTCAGATCGAATATTTGGCAATTCCAAAATATTTTTATCAAGTTTTTCCTTGATGAAAAATCTATCAACCTCCACATGCTTCATCCGATCATGTTGGACAGGGTTGTGAGCAATGTTGCGCACATCTTTATTATCACAATACAACTGAATGAGACGTGTATGTGCATACCCTAAATCCTGGAGAAGTAGTCTTAGCCACAAACTTTCACAAAGTCTAAGAACCATTGCTCTAAGTTCAGTTTCTGCACTGGATCTAGCTACAACTTTCTGCTTCTTGTTTTTCCATGTGACAATATTACCTCCTACAAATGTAAAGTATCCAAAGGTTGATCTTCTATCATCAAGAACACCTGCCCAATCTGCATCAGTATAAACCATCACATCCTTGTAGTTGGAGTTCTTCTTGAACATAACTCCTTTTTCAGGAGCAGCTTTTATATACCTTAAAATCCGTATAACAACATCCATGTGTTTTTCACCTGCATTGTGCATGAACTGGCTAACCACACTAAGAGCATAAGCTAAATCTGGCCTAGTGTGTGAGAGATACATCAATCTCCCTACAAGTCTCTGATATCTTCCCTTATTAGTTGGAGTTTGATCTTCTTCAATGCATAGCTTCAATCCCTCTTCAATTGGAGAATTTGCTGGTTTGCATGCTATCATTCCAGTTTCTTTTAGTAAATCCAATGCATACTTTCGTTGTGAGAGAAAAATAACAGACTTTGATCTTGAGACCTCAATTCCAAGAAAATATTTCAAAGGACCAAGATCTTTCATCTCGAATTCCTTTGCTAAGTACTTTTTCAATGTCTTGCGTTCCTCTAGATCGTTTCCCGTAACTATCATGTCATCAACATAGACAATAAGAATTGTAATATTTTCTTCCTTTTTCTTTAGAAATAAGGTATAATCTTGGTTGCTCTGTTGGTATCCAAAAGCAAGCATTGACTTGGTGAATCTACCAAACCATGCTCGTGGCGATTGTTTTAGTCCATACAATGACTTCTTCAACTTGCATACCTTCTTGTTATGTGTATTCGGGATCCCACATCCTTCTGGTAGCTTCATATAAACTTCTTCAGACAATTCCCCGTGTAAGAAGGCATTTTTTACGTCAAATTGTTGTAAGGACCAATCAAGGTTTACAGCTAGAGATAACAATACTCGAACTATACTAATTTTGACTACGAGAGCAAACGTTTCAGTGTAATCTATTCCATATGTTTGTGTGTACCCTTTTGCCACTAATCTAGCTTTGAATCTCTCAATTGTGTCATCTGCATTAAATTTCACAGTATATACTCATCGGCATCCTACTGGTTTCTTTCCAACTGGACAATCTACTAATTCCTAGGTTTTATTTCTTTGCAAGGATCTCATCTCCTCATTCATAGCATCCTTCCACCTAGAGTCAGCTAAAACTTCCTGCACACTGTTAGGAATAAATACAGTAGATAATTGACTTATAAATGCGATATTTGAGTTAGACAAATTCTAGTTACAAACATAATTACTCATAGGGTATCTTGTCTTACTGGTGAGGTCAGGATCATAAGTAGGCTTAGGGATACCTCTAGTGTCACGATCTGGCAGAATTCTTTTTTCTGTATTAGGTTCTTGAGGGGACGCTTGGTGTGGTATATCATTAGCATCAACAGACAAATTTTCGATCTCAACATGCTCAAAATCTTCCTCATTATGTGGTTGTTGATCATAACATTGTTGCATACTTTCATCATCTCTTGATACAACTTTGTAACTTTCTTTCTCCAATCTGATCTCAATATCAATTTCTTGAGGAACAAAAGTCTGAACTTCATCATAATTCTCCCCCTGAATTTCAGACTCGGGGAAAAAATATATCAAGGTTTCATAAAAAACTACATCTATAGTAGTAAACATTTGCTTGGTTTGTGGATTGTAGCACCGATATCCTTTCTGGTGATCCGCATAGCCAAGGAACACACACCTTTCAGCTCTAGGAGACAACTTACTTCTCTGATACTTGTGTAAGTGAACATAAGCAACACAACCAAAAACTCTATGTGTTAGTTCAGCAATTTTAGGACTTACTACTGCATCTGTAAGTGATTGAAGAGGTGTTTTATACTCAAGAGACCTAGATGGTGTTCGATTGATAGTGTATACTGCATATGTGAGAGTTTCTCCCCAATATATTGCTGGCATGTGAGCTCCAATTAGTGTAGCTCGGACCACCTCCAATAGATGACGGTTCTTCCATTCTGCCACCCCATTCTGTTGTGGAGTACTTGGACAAGATCTTTGATGAACAATTCCTTTGTCTACTAAAAAATGTTGAAGTTTTGATTGCATATATTCTCCTTCGTTGTCATTACGTAGTACCTGAATTTGTGTTTTGTACTAGGTCTCAATTATTTTGCAGAATTTCTGAAATAGTCCTCCAACTTCACTTTTAGACTTCATCAAACATAACCAAGTCATTCGAGTACAATCATCAATAAACGTTACAAACCACGTTGAGCCACCCAACGTTGTAACCTTAGATGGACTCCATACATCAGAATGAATGATCATAAAAGGAAGAGAACTTTTATTTAAAATTAAAGAAAAATGTGTTCTATGACTCTTTGCAAGCTCACAAACATCACAATAAAAAGTTGAAGTGTCTACTTGGTCAAATACATTTGGAAATAATTTCTTTATGTAACCAAAAGATGCATGTCCTAGACGCTTATGCCATAACCAGATATCCTCGCCTTTTCTTACTTCTTGAGACCCTTTTGTTGCTAGTACTTGACCAAGTCTCTTTGAATCTTTTTCTGTCCGGTCCAGGTAATACAACCTTTCTCGCCTAATACCACAACCAATCGTCTTCCTCGTTTGAATATCCTTAAAAACACAAGAGTCAGACCAAAAAATTACAACACATAAAAGAGCTTTGATTATTTGCGAGACTGACAATAGGTTATATTTAAGAGAAGGAACAATAAGGACAATATCAAGATTCAAATTGTTTGAAATAGAGTTAGTTCCTTCTCCAATAATAGTGGATTTACTACCATTGGATGTGGATATACTTTTTTGTGAGAAAGGTTTAAGATTTTTAATTTGTCTAACATCAAAAGTCACATGATCAGAACATGCAGAGTCAATTATCCATGCATTATTCAGAACGGTAGATGTGTTTATTAAAGCCTTACCGTTAGAATCATCACTGAAAGCAATGAGGGGGAGATTGATGAAAATGTCCCTACATTCCCAAGAGATGATTTTGATGATGATTCAAGTCAACTACATTCAAGTAAACATCATTCAAGATGAATTAAGGACAAACTGAATTTATGATGTTGGTGAAAATGTGAAACATTTTCCTACATGCCCAAGATATGTTTTTCATAAAGATGATGATTCAAGCAAGCCCAAGATGATTTTTGAAGACTAGATAGAGTCTTAGAATACTGGATATGGAGGTACAAGTTGATGAAGTAATATTATGCATAAGCCTCCAAAGCACAAGTGTGATAAAATTCATAACATGATATTTTTCTCTGTCATAATCAATTATGATGCATCAGAAATGAAAAAATAATTTTCTCTGTCATAATTGATTATACTGATAATATAATCAATTATGGCAATTCAAATTTGAAAAATATATCCATTTTAAAGAATAAATGTTTTTAAATACATCCCGATTTTCTCTATGATATTATTAATGTCCAACGACCATTTTCTCGATGCTATTTTTCTATTTAATTAAGTTTTGATGAAAAATAAAAAACACACAATTACAGAATTCGAAAATACAATTTATATTCAATCAGTTTTGAGAAAAGAATTTTGAACAAGGCAACATAGATATTTTACACCTTTTAAGAAAACCCTCTTCTCTACTGTCTTCTGTGCTTTCATTGTTAAT